TTTTATATATATATATATATATATATATATATATATATATATATATATATATATATATATATATATATAAAATAGGAACATGATATATATGTACAAAAAACACATTTCAAACAAAAAATATGACAATAAAAATACTCCTCGATCTTCCTCTATTTTATTTTATCTTCTTTTTTTTCCTTTATTTTTTTGTTTTTCAAAACAAATTTAACCAAAATAAATCTCTTTGGATGATCACTAAATAATACAGCACCAGAGTATTTTCTTTTCCCATTAAACAAAAAACATAGAGTTCCTACATTATAAATTTGGATGAACAATATTTATTTATTGTACATTTATTCATGCATATTTATAAATTACACAATACTTATGATTTCTTGCTTTTATTTATTTATCTATTTGTATATGTTTAGTGGATCTACATTATAAAATTGATGCATACATATATTTAATGATTACACAATGCTCACTTCAATGTTAAAAGCACTTATTTGTTCCTAAATAAAGCTTTTATTTTGTCCTCCATCCGTTCCATAAAGATGGGTATGTTTTGACTAAAGTTGAAATTAAGGGAGGGATAATTTTGTGTTGACTTTCCAAAAATACTATTGATATGATGGGTAAAAGTATGATGTGATGTGTAGATTATTAAGAAAAAAGTACGATGTGATAGGTAGGGTTTGAAAAAGTAAGGGGTAAAAGTGATTTTTTAATAGAAATGGGTAAGGAATTGTGGGACGCAATTTTTTAGAAACGTGTAAATCTTTTTGGAACGGAGGGAGTAAAAAACTAAAACTAAATCTTTAGAAATAAAAATTTTTAAAAGTACACATTTATTTAGCACATATGATTATCATCTGATCTGTGTCATCTCTGCGAAGCTTGAGTGCACCCATAGTAGTAAGTATTTGGAGCACCCTAGCATGACCCAATGAGAATAATATGGAGAAGAACATGAACAAATGTATTTGTCATAAATCCATTGATGTCTTATAGAAATCAAAATATATGGCTATACTCAAATGTACAACTAACTAAAGAATGGTGTGTGCTCTTATTTCATGACCAAATGTGGAAAAAACATATATCTGTGGGTAAAGAATATGGCCAACTAAGGGCAATGGTTTAATATCATACAAAACCCTTCACAATGTCATTAGCCAAGTACCTGTTTGTCTCTGAACTCTCTTCTTATCAGTTCAAATACCATCTCGTTCCACGTGTCGACTGGACCGGGCATACACCAATGCAAGCAATCCTGTGGTGGGGGCCGACCGTCGGGCCCTCTTTTTGTGATTTTATTCGGGTCTGGGCTTCTGTAGGGCCCGGGATGTCCGTCACGACGATACTCAAATACGCGTGTAATGTCCATAAACTTCAAAGCAGATTTGTTAGTTCTCTTCCCCACGGAGCGCGAAAACGCGGTGGATTGTTTTTCATGCATGATGTTAGTGAACCCATTCTCAACAAGCTCGCTATCAGCCGCCGGAGCAGTCTTTCCGGTGCACGATCCTCCTGTGTTCCAGGCCCCGCCCTCGTAGTGGTCGGGCGAGAAGGACCGCACGATGGTGAGACCATTGTACTTTGGATGTTTGACCAATGCGGTGAGGATTGTTTCAACGGATATTCCGAATGCTTCAATGTTGTTGACTTTCATCGGTTTGGATTTGTTGGGCCACCAGAGTTGTCCCCCGACAATCTCGTTTTCCAGGATGTAAACCGATTGCTTGGCAAACCAGTGGCCGGAGGAGAGGACGATAACGTCAAATTGGGGGACGAATTCCATGAAGCCGTCATCCGGGACGTCGAGGTGGAGTTTTGCCACCCCTTTTGGTGCATAATCGAACGGCTCAGATGTCTGGTTGACCAGCCAAGATGACCAAATTCGAACTATCATGGTGGAAGTTGATCTGAAATAATAACGTTGCATTCTTTTGTTCCCACGGTTCTTTGGAGCCTCAAACTGCCCACACAGGATTAATCATTAAACAAAAAAATTAGGGCAGATTTAGATGGTACACGATTAGCAATTTTGAACTTTCATAGACATTGACAATGCATCAACTCAGTGTGACCAAGTATGTATATATTGTGTATAAATGTACTAAATACTTATTTAAGCACACCTAGTTCGAGCTATTACCCCCAAATAAGCAAATAGAAGAAGTCAGCCTAAGATCAATCCACGTCCCTACACAACAACAATAACAACAACAACAACAACAATCTCACTAAAATCCCACAACAAGTAGGGTCTAGGGAGGAAGTTTGTTTACACCCACTTGAAAGTAGAGAGGTTGTTTCCAAGAGTCCCTAAGCACAGTCAAAGCAAACCAACAAAGAAGACACACAAGCACGTCCCTAAATTAGTAAATTATTTATTCTTTACTTTTCCATTTGTTCCAAAATTATTCTCCATTTCTCTTTTTTCTTTGAAAACGAAAGGTGGCTCCTACTATGTCTTTTTCGAAACAAATTTCAACCACATTATTTTCATCATCTTAAGCTTCCTGTTCGATTAAGTTAGACCATATTAAATGAACGAAAAGTGAGTACTAAGTAGTTGCTAGGTAAAACTTTTTGTGAAATTTGCACTAAATAGTACTAAAACATAGTCTCTTTCTCAATATGGTACTATGGTACTATATGAGGAACAGACTATGTTTTGGACTTTTGGTACTATCTAAGTAATTTTCCCAAACTTTTTTTTTAGAGTAGACAAGAGAACAACCTCTTAGAAGCCAAATGTCTTCAATGTTTTCCAAATAACTGAATAAGATCTATACAAAACTATTTCGTGATGTTTGATCTATAATAACAAAAGTCCAGATCGAACAATTGATTCTTAGGGAGTGTTTAGTTAATGTTACCTTGTTTGGTTTGTCGAAGAGAATGGGAAGGTAACTTTTGGCTTGAAGTGTGTTCGGTTGGAGGGGAAGGGGGAGAAATGCTAGCTCTCCTCCAAATTTTTTGAACCAAATGAAGGAAAAGGAGCATTTTTCCTTCTCTCCAACCCAATACACACTTAGTCCAAAAACACATGAATAGAATATGAATTATACAAAGAACACAAGATTTGTCATTGTGAACCTTTTGGGCTTAGCCAAACCAAAAGGGAGGGTTTATTTTTTCATTGGACAGTGGACAATATAGAGATCCATATGTGTGTGTAAACACACATACTTGCATATGTGTGTGTAAACACTCGACTAACCCAATAAGAAAAAAGCAATAACACACATTATACCTGCCAAAGTATACACAGTAATGATTCCATCTGGTTGCGAGCAACTGAATCACCGATGAATGCTAAAGTTTTCCCTCTCATTAATTCCAAGAATTCCTTTGGACTGAACCGAGGAAGGTAACATTGATCAGGTTTCCAACGCCAGTTCTCATAATCTTTATCTGGCCTTCCATTTCCCTGGCAATTCTGCATCTGTGTTATGACAGGGCAGGAGTTGTTTGTGTACAATGGTCCAGTTGAATCAAAGATCCATTTTCCATGGTAAAGATTACATTCTGAAATAATTTGAAAAATAACCAAATTTTAGATAAAAACTAACTCCGAAATGAAGAGGTTAAAATGCACCTTTGGAACTAGAGTGTGGTTCTCTTAGCATAAGAACCATGACCAGTTAAAGGTTTCAGAGTGCTATCAATTTGAAAAGCAAGAGTTTACTCCGACAACCTACTTATATTGCTTGTTCGTCAAATTGTGATCGAGGATAGTCCTCTAGCCACCATCAATCATCATCACCTTAGTTTCAACTACATTTGGATTGGTGACATAAAATTACGGACAAGTAATTTCCAAAAATTAGACAGCCCTATAATTCATGCAGGAAAAAACATGGCGGCAAAGTTTTATGCCAAATGCCCTGAATGAGATGAAATTCCAAAACCGCGATCATCACAGGTTTTCTCTAATTGCATGGAAAATACTTGAGCAATGGTGAATTGAAAACTTTTTTTTGCCTGATATGATTATTATTTGCATCCCCCTATATATTGTAAAACCAACATGTACATCATGGAACATGACCAAGTGTTATTAAAAGTTACAATTAAGAGACTGCTCTGTATGGGTTATTTGGCTGAAATAGTTGAATCTGTTGAATTTACTAAAAGGAAAAACATTTGGTGAGTCAAAAATCTTCATTATTCTGATCACAAAAAACACTGTTTAACACCTGTTTCAACCAAATAGGTAAGTCAAAAGATACATTATTCTGCTTATTCTAATCATATTCATCTTTTAGGCAAAGTAAGCCCCCTTTGGCAACCAAACAGAGTGAATTGATAAAAAATGTCATACACACCAGAACTTGTGTCTGGCTTGGCTTCGATTACAGGAGACGAAGATGCAACAGAACCCAAATTGGTGTCGGGTGCAGGAAGAGTTCTATTCGTCTTTCCTTTCTTGAAACTAGTATAATCTGTGTGTATGCTCCCTTGTGTTGCACTATTATTCACTGATTGAACTACATTTCTTTCTGAGCCAGGAAGTTCATCCTTGGGCTCTAAAGATTGGTTACTCTCGGTATTACCTTCATTGCCACTACCTTGATCATCAACGCCAGATTTCTTATCTTGTGATTCTGATGAATCTGGGTATCTTAAGTTCAAATCGCTTGTAGTCACACCATCAGGGCCACCGTTTTGGCTGCCAGTATCTACTCTATCTTTCTCAGGAACTAAAATAGACTTTGTTGAACTATCCACTTGATAAAAAGGCTGACGAACAAAAGGTTCACTGGGCCGAGAGGCGAGAAATGATGAAGCCAGAAGTAAGAACAGGGCAAGGCCTCCAACAGAAGACACAATCGATAAGAGTGTCTTCGGATAACTCATTGGAGGATCTCCTTGGGCGGAAGTAACCCTAATAACATTTGACTTCATGATCCAACTAATGGCTTCCAACTGTTTGTCTCAGCATCTGAAAAGAATCATAAAATGCGATCCAAAAAGATTTGGTGGTTTCAGATGTTCATAGAGCATTTCGATCTTTCAACCTAATTCTTCCTGAAATTCAAGTAATTCAACGGAGTAATCTGCATAAACAGAAAACCAGGACGAAATCATGAATGATCCTCGATAGAAATCGCGAGGAGTTTCTACTTCCACAATCGCAATAAATTCTAGCGTTAATCCTTCTCAAGCTCATGATATAAACTTCACATTCAATCAACTAAAGATACGCGAACAACTGCAGTTTCTTCCTTTTCAAAAAGCAAAGTAAAATAGTAATAAATACGAGAAAAAAAGTGATGAATTACAATATGAACCTACCGGAAACCCGAAATGCCAAGCAAATCCGACGGGAATCTTCAATTTACCGCGGAGCAAAGGAATTGTATCGGATCAGCTGTTTCAGTTGAAGGCACGCAATGGCGCTCTGGAACGGCACTTCCGATTCTCCTCTCGAAGTTCTATAACTGCTCGTCTCTTTCTTCGATTTCCAGATCTTCCCTCCCCAATCTCGATGAAAAGTTGAGATTTTCAAGAACATGTGCCGCTGAAACTGTTAAGCAAGCAGAAAATTAATGGGTTGTACGGAGTATGTTCCATTGTGTCTGATCGCGAGCCTCCTTGAAAGAGAGTAAATGAGAAAGTAATAAAGAAAATTACTCCATAATAAAATAATGTGAGCTAATTAAAAAAAGTTTCATGTTTTTATTTATTCGATAACAGTTTTCAATATGATTATGTGGCATTGTATGCTTTATTTACTATATTTTCTTGATAACCTACATTGTCGTGATTGAAAATATCGTAGATGCATTTTAAATCCAATTTTAAAAATAAAAACATGAAATTCCTATTTTAATATATTTTTCATATTTTACTTTTACTTTAGTCCTTTTACTTTTAAAGGTACTTTGTATGTCTCAAAATGAATTATCTCTTTCAATCCATACAACATGTTATTAAATTTAAAATTATTTTATTTACAAATTAATATTAAAATAAAAAATAAAAATTACTTCATATATATATATATATATATATATGACAAAATATTTTTATCTAACCAAACAATCAATAAAAATATACACATAAACAAAGGTTATCAAGATGACATAATGGTGAAAATGTAAATCCTCTTGAAACTGAAAGAGTAGAGATTTAAATAAATTCACAAACACATAGTAATACATTTGTATATTTGTAATTCTTTATTTCTGACTTTAACATTTCTTTTTGTAAAGTTACTATATTTATTTTATACGTGTATACAAAAGTTTTACTTCTTACTCCGTATTAAAGTTATACTGACACGATTTATGTGACATTGACTGCCAATGTCATACTATGACACAAACTTCTTACAATAGTCCGTTTAAAATGATCATTCATACAACTAACAAATTATGAATCATATGATCCAATGTTCTAGAATTAGCCTTTTGAAACCATGTCAATTAGTTTAGACCTTCTAGGGTAAATATGATGATAAATAAGTGATTTAAATTTGATTATTGTGTTTTATTTGCAGAGTAATTTTCATTCGACTGAAGTAAGCAATACCAAACATCTCTTCTTAATCATCAAAATATTGTTCATTAAAGGATAAACTCCATCTATGATGACTTTCAGAATCGATCACATGATTACATGAAAGCAGATAAATTAAGCTTTAATCAAAAAATGATGATAAAAAATCTAGCATGCACCTGTTACTTGTAAATGTCGTATACTTAAACATAGTTGTATTTCAGTAGAGTCCCAATGAATCAAATTTCTGTGGGCACGTCAATCTTTGTAAATATCTACAAGAGCATTGTAGGAGAACATTTAGGCACACATTGCATGATTTTCTTTCAACAATGCTTGCGGAAATGAAAGAATTGATGAGATAAGATAAAACAAAAAGACTAAACTAGGAGTAAAATATGAATAAATTATCAAAAAACGAGCCCTATATTTTTTATCCTCAAAATAGAAGTACAATGTTAATAATATCAATACATAGTGCCAAAAAATAAGGAAAAAGACTAAAATATGAGTAAAATATTAAAAATATAACAAAATAAAAATTCTGCATTTTTTATTCACGAATTATAAGTTAAATACATATACAATGTCAATTATGATCATTTACACTTTTCTCAAACAAAATTGTGAAATGTCTATATATAGTGACATATTACCGTAATACGAACTAATATATTTTGGAAATAAAAACATGTAGTTACTATTTTGATTTTTTTTCTTTACGTTTTACTTCTATTTATGACGATTTTACCAAAAAATAGTGGGATGTCAATATATAGTGTTATAATATCACAATACAGACTCATATTTTAGAGAAAAAAACATGAAAATCATATTTTAAGTATAAATACTATATTTTATTCTTATTTGAGATGATTTTTTATAAGACACTAACAAAATGAAAGATATGTGTTGGTAAATTTTCACCATCTTAACATAAATATGCATACTTTTGGGTGTATATGAGAAAAAGACCACAAAAAATTTGTCACTCAATTTAGTAGAAACAGACCACAAAAACTTAACCTCAATATAATTATCCAGTTTGACTTTTTGGAGTCAATCTGGACACACATTGAGCTTCAGTTACTCTCAATTTGTATTGCGTATTAGTACAAAAAAATAGAATTTTGAAAATTTCCAACTAGGTATATCTAATATAAGTATTTTTGGACTAATATATATTACTATTTTCGTTCAATTGAAGCTCAAATTTCATCTTGTTTGATTCAAAAAAATCAAACTAGACAAATACACTGATGCGAAGAAAATATATTATATTGTGCTCGATATAATGTATAGTACTCCATTGAGAAAAAAAGAATTACTTCATTTTTCTTGAAACGTTCTTCTCAATTCTGTTTATGAGATTTGACCGACTTTATTTTCATGTCAATTTATTTGATTGTAGGTGTAAAATAAAAAAAATAAAATTTAAATATTTAAAAATTACGTCAAAAATTTTACAAAACAAGAAGCGACAAGATTATATTATTTTATCAAATAACTAACGAAAATAAGTAAATAAAGTAATAAAAAAACTTGACCATGTGAATAGTAAATCAGAAGAATATTTTAGGACATAGGGAATAATAGATTATCCATATCATTGTTTAAAAAGAATACTTCATCCGTCCCTAAATAAACTTCCCTTTTTGACTTTTTGATGATTTAAGAGAGGGATATTTTTGTGTTGACTTTCCAAAAATACTCTTGATGTGATGTGTAAAAGTAAGATGTGATATGTAGATTATTAGTAAAAAGGTATGATGTGATAGGTAGGGTATGAAAAAGTAAAAGGTAAAAGAGGTTTTTTAAGAGAAAAGAGAAGTTTATTTGGGGACAAAAAAAACGAAAGGAAAAGTTTATTTAGGGACGGAGGGAGTATAATTTTATTGTGAATGAAAAATTTATATTGTGATTTATGGAATAAAATTAATCTGTCTCAAAAAAAAATTTCTTATTCCTTTTTGAGATGTTTTAAAAAAAAGCCTCATTTTTCTTTTTATGGAAGAATTTGATTGACTCACAAATTTTATTTTTTATATGTATCATTTCTAGGGGTGCATACAATCAAATAAAATGTATTCGATTCGTGATTCGTAATAAAAAAGGATGATTCGTATTCGTTATATTCGAATTCGAATCCTAATACAAATCCTATTTTAGATTCGAATTATTTTCGAATTCGAATACAGATATTAATAGATTCGATTCGTTTATTATTCAAATTATTCGAATATTATAATTTATAAATAAATTTATATATATATTCTAATATATTAAATATTGTGTACATATTTTAACATGTTTTAATATATTAAATATTTGTGTACATATAAATTTATATATATTCGAATATTATAATTTATAAATAAATTTATGTATATTCTAACATATTTTTACTACATTTTACATTATTATAAAATAATAATTTAATGTCTTTAAGAAATCTGTTTTAAAAAAATTACTAATATTTTTGAATTTAAATACGAATTCAAATACATCAAATATCTATCGAATCGAATACGAATGTTTTTTAAAATTCGAAGTATATACGAATCCGAATTCGAATACATATCACTTTAATCGAATACGAATCGAATAGTGATATATTTGCTTCGATTCGATTCGTATACACTTCTAATCATTTCTAACTAAATATTTTCACTTCACTTAAATTCTAGGAGAAATTATCTCAAATAATCCCGCCTTTTCGCGCTCTTTCAAAAATAATCCTACTTTTCACTGTCACCGGAAATAATCTCACCTTTTTGCATGTGTGCGAGTTTTGGGTCACCGTTAAAAAACTAACGGTCACTTAACGGAAGTTTTTGAAAATGCATATTTTTTGCAAATAAATGAAAGGTGGGATTATTTTAGAAAAATTTACTTTTTACTTTTTTAGTTTTGAATTTAAAATTAATATTTTTAAAAATATAACAATACACTCTTGTTAGAGATTTGTCTAACGATTAACAAATTTTGTAGTGATTTATAAAATTTATGGATTCCGTTTCGGAGAAAAAAATATTATGTCATTTTCACAACTTTTGAATTACTATTTTGGGGAAAAATTTGTATTGAATTATTAAAAAAAACACAAATTGGGTAGTTCCATTTTAGAAAGAAAATTTTATTGCAATATAAGATTATCAATAAAAATTTCAGAGTGTTCATGGAAAAATTGCAATACATCAGAAAATGTAGTGAGTTATAAAAATAAAAGTTCTATTTTAGAGAAAAAAAATTTTATGTTATTTTCACAACTATTGTAATGTTGTTTCACAAAAAATATTTATATAGAACTATCGAAAAATATTATAAGTTTTGTAGTGCCATTTTTTTAAGAAATAATAATAATGTAGTATCAAAAACTAATTTGAAGTGCAGCTCAAGAAAAATACAGTAAATGCAACTTACAAAAAAATGTACTCCCTCCGGCCTCCGTTATCAAAAACACTTTCTCTTTCATTTTTTTCCCTTCGAACAAAATACTTCCACTTTCTATTAAAAAACCACTTTTACCCTTATCTTTTCATATCCTACCTATCACATCATACTTTATCTCTAATAATCTATCCATCACATCTTACTTTTACCTATCACATCAAGGGCAAAATTGGAAGTCAATTACAGTTTAATACTTCCTTATTTTTACACAAAGTCAAAAGAGGAACACTTTTTCCAAACGGAGGGAGTAGTTAGTTACGAGGTTAATAAATTAGCTCTATTGTGTAGAATAATTTATTTTCTAATTATTAGCATATTATTGGTTATTGAAAAAAACAATTAGTTTCACTCTAAAAACACTTAAATTTGGTATTTTTTCCAAAAAAATAAAATAAAAATACATTTAAAAAAATTAAAAAACGAAAAAGGGAGAATTTACCTAAAATAATCCCACCTTTCATTTATTTACGAAAAACGGGCATTTTTTAAAATTTCCGTTAAGTGACCGTTAGTTTTTTAACGGCGACCCAAAACTCGCACACATGCGGGAATGTGAGATTATTTCTGGTGAGAGTGAAAAGTAGGATTATTTTTGAAAGAGCACTAAAAGGTGGGATTATTTGAGATAATTTTTCCTAAATTCTATTAGAAGTCAAATTGTAAACCTTATCTTAAGAGGGAGACGGTAGAAACTAGAAAGTAGAAATACGCGTCCCACTCTATGCACTCTGCACTTCTGCAGACGAGTTTTTTTTGCACATACCCATAACCCAAACACGCCCTGATAGAGGAAAAAGAAGGCTCTGGTGGGAGACAAGCCAGAAAGAAAGCTTTGATAGACGAAGAGCCGGGAAAAGCTTCGTTTCAATTGTCTCAATTAGGGTTCCAGCGGAACTCCGATGGCCGCTCGCACGCTCTCTTACTTTTCGATAGCATCTTCACAAAGATGCAAACGTCCCATTCCCGAGAACTCGTTCACTCCCAACCCGAAATCTCTATCTTGCTCATCTCTACGGCGGGGCCTCCCATTTGGTGTTTCGAGTTTGAGCATCCACACTTCTAAACGACGCAGTTTCGCTGCTGCGACACTCACCTCCCATCCCCCATCTTCGTAAGCTCACGTTGCGGGTTTGGTTAATCAATATTGTTACTGGTGCTATTTGTGACTCCGGTTTTGTTTGGTTCTGCAGATCTGCAGAAAGAGTTAATGGGGTAGAGCCAAAGTGGGTTTCTTCAGTGTGTTGCATTTCCATTTAATTACAGTTTTTTGGGTCTGTGCCTTGTGAATTCCAAATGATAGGTTTACTCTGATTTGTAGATGGTCTGCCAGGGCTATAAAGTCTTTTCAGATGGCCGAATTAGAAGCTAGAAAGCTCAAGCATCTCACCACTGGCACTGAATCTTTGCTCATGGGTATCTTGGTTGAAGGTTAAGGTTCAATTATCCCATCAAAATGACTTGTTTTTGCTCACATTATAATTATTTGATAAATGTATTGAGAACTTGACGGGCTTAGGTAGCATTTTTGTTCGAATTGCCTGGTGCATCAATGCATATTTAGATGTGTTGATGTTAGCATTTCATATTTTCAGTTGGATGAATTTTTAAAGGCCAATTTGGAGCATAGAATATGCTAGGGAAAGAAAATAGGGAGGATAATCAAAATGAAAGAAAATTTGACGGGAAAATAGATAAACTCAAAATCAATGTATGAATTTTAGACTTTTTTTTCAAACTTTAAACACATTTGATATACTTCCTCCGTCCCTTATTAGATTACAATTTTTTTCTCTCTCCTCTCGATAACTTTTGTTTGTTTACGTGATTTCATTAAGTATTTGATAAAATAAAATATTCTTGTGACCTCTTGTTTTGTAGAACTTTTGACGTAGTTTTTTTAATACGTAATTTTTATTTCTTATCGATATACCGATTTGTAAATAAAATGATTTCAAAACGTAACATATTTCTCCTCGTAAACCCCAATTTATAATCAAATTGGGGACGGAGGGAGTATTCAACTATACAATAGTAACCTAGTAAAATCCCACTAGTGGTGATTTATTCATCTATAATATATAAATATGCAAAAAAGAAGTTCATTTTGCAGTGGTGAAGTTAAAGCCAAACATAAGAAACCAACTTCCCTTTGTATGCCCCTTATTATTTCCTGGATCCAAACATACCCTTAATATGCCAAAAAATATTGGTTTTATAGGTACCAGTTCGGCTGCTAAGTTTTTGAGGGAATGTGGTGTCACATTATCTAAGGTGCGACATGAAGCTGTAGAGCTACTTGGCAAATCTGATATGTTCATTTACAGTCCCGAGCATCCTCCTTTGACAAAGCCTGCTCAGAAGGCTATTGATTGGGCGGTTGACGCAAAGCTGAAATCAGGTAATCTACCACCACTCTTTATATGCTTCTTAGAATTCACAGCCTCTGTTTGGAAATAAATACTCCATTCGTCTGGGTTTAGTTTTTTACTTTCCAAAATACCTCATATTTTAGGTGTGAGAGTGAAATATCAAAATAAGTCTGTCAAGAAACCAATTCAACCAAAAGCTCAAGCTTGTGCTTGTGGCCCAAGAAAGGTTTTATATTCCAACAGCCGCCTCACGTGCAGGCGCGATTTGTTTTTTTGTTCGAGCCTTGCACTTGAACATTAATTTTTTTAAACTGGGTGGCGCCGAGTTCCGAACTCGTGACATTTGGTCAACAAGGCTTTGATACCATGTCAAGGAACCAATTCAACCGAAAGCTCAAGCTTGTGATTGTGGCCCAGGAAAGATTTTATGAAGTCCTCTTAATGAGTTTAATACTCTATCACTCATTGATGTCAACAATGATAATATGTTATCTAGAGATCTACCTTAATATTTTTACTGAATATGGGAAGTAGAGAACTAATTCCAGCCGCACAAAAATGGGAAAGTGGAATACTAAATCGGACGGAGGGAGTAATTAAATATTTAAAAAAATTATAAGCATGATGAAAATTTTGTGTTCTCCAGTGGCATGATGACTCTTAATCTCTTATGCTTTGAAAAGCTATATTTCTGTTTGCCGAATATTTAAATTTAATAAAAATAGATCATTTAATGGCCAGGCGATGTCACATAGTTTGAGGGGTGAAAAAAATGTCTCTCAACTTTCCGATTGAGCCGCCTAGCCACATACTGCTTACTTTTGGGGCGATTGGTGCAAGAATGTGCCTCAGCCTAGATGTGTTCCAAGGCTTTATTTAAAACAAAGGAAATGAAAAAAACCTAGCCGAAATCCAACCATCTGAGAGTAATCATCCGAAACTTGGCTAACCGAAATCCAACCATCCGAGAGTAATCAGAATTTCATGGTAGACCTCACTGACAAATTGTTTGCTTGTATTCTTGCAATGCACAGGTCAGGATGGAGAATTGACAGTAGCCCATATTCTTCTTGGCATCTGGTCTCAAACAGAATCTGCAGGGCATATAATATTGGATACACTTGGTTTTGATGAGGAGAAGGCCAGTGAGCTAGCAAAATTTGTAAGTTTTTGTGTTCTATCTATATAGACTACACAAAAGGATTGAGTTGTGGCCACTTGTCGGTGAGATATGTTCTTTGGTCAGATCAGATATGATCGGCTTAGGGGATCCACATCCAAATTCGATCTGTTCAGCTAATGACAGTTGGGGTCATGGATTATGATCTTAACAAATACGGATTAAATTTTAAAAAATGCAAGAGTCTAGCAGATTGTTGATGCATGAACACTCTTAGATGTAACAGTTCTATTGCATCTTGTTTGATGTGTTCTTGTTGGTCTATGCAGACACACAAGGACATCACAATGAGCTTTAGATAGCAGCTGCTTTGGATGGTCAAGCAATTGTCAGTTTGCTTGTTGTAACCCATGAAAACAAGCAAAGGCCAGCGTTCCGCTATATGCTGCGCTTATTCGTTCCTCATACAACAAACATTTTGGCATTTTTGGAGGATTTTTTTTTGTAATTTGAAAACATGATATTGGAAGCAAATCTATAATTAAGTAATGGCAGTAATGAAGTACCACTCTTGGATTTTATACTGGCCGTATTGTCGTTGGAGGGACGCGATTAGCTACTTGTGGTATTTTTTATAACGTTTTGATACTTGGCGATTCTCGTGTTTGCGTTCCTTCTGAAATTGAAATAGAGAATCAGTCTTGAGCACTTAAAAGTATGAAAATTCTATCTATGATGAAGAAGAATGGTGTGGCCTTAGCACTTGGCGGATCCAATTGCACTTAACCGTTACTATTCACACATTTCATTTTTATTTTTAAAATGAACATTATGCAAAAATTGAAAAATTTTTGTTTTTTAAAACGAACATTATTCAAAAATCTAAACTTGGTTTCGTTCATAAAATAGTACTCCATCCGTTCTAAAACTTTCTTCCCGTTGCGCAAAACGAAGAAAAATCTCAAGTTTTTTCAATTTATTTTATTTAAATATTGGTATAGAAATAAAAATAAAACATACATATTTAAAAACTACATCAAAAGTTCAACAAAACAAGTGGTGACAAGAATATTTTATTTTATCATATAGGCCATGAAAAACACAAATAAATATAAATTCCCGTGAAGTTGGAATAGTGCTCTGGGAAGAAAGTTTTAGGACGGAGGGAATACTACCTTCTATCTGAAAATTTTATTTGCATTTGACCTTTCTTAGTCTTATATGGAGTATTATATTACCGGAGTATAATCTCTGTCGAGTGATTTTCTTTTTTTGCTTTGCTATACACGATTTTGAATAAAAAAAGTGTATTGTTATGATTAGTCTAGAGAGAAAAAAAAATTATTAAAATAACATGACTTTTTCATCAAAAAAAGTGGAAGAAAATTTTGGAAAAGTAGAAGATAATCATGGAAGAAAGAAACAGTGGGGTTCTCATGACATGGAACCCTATGTCATGGGATAATTCAGAAGTATCTCGGTGTCTCGTTCGTAAAATTGACGGTTCCAACCCTCCTAACTCCTACTAAACTCCCCTACCTGCCCCGATTCGAACTCATCCCATCCCCTTCAAATGATTTTGATTTTGAATTAGAAAGTATAGGAACCCGAACCCCCCAGTTATTAGTTATTAGATGACACAAAAAAAAATAAATCCAATATTTCGTTCGCTAAATACTAGGGCAGTTCCGAAATCTCACTGCCAGGAACCAAACCACACACTCTCAGCATCGTCCCGCCAAGGGGTTTTCTTCCCCTTCCCGGAGCTAGAATTGAGTGTGAGAGAGAAATAAATCTAAAAAAATGAGCTTCGCCGCATACCGAATGATGCATTTGCCGACCGGCGTAGAGAACTGCGCCGCCGGCTTCATCACGCATTCCGCCGCTGATTTCATTCCCCTGGTTCAGACGGAAGACCTTGATTCCGACTGGCCTTCTCCCAAGCCGATTGGCGCTGTCCCCAATCTCGTCGTCTCCTCTGCTAATGTCCTAGAAATTTATGCTGTTAGGCTTCAGCAGGCCACTGTCAGAGAATCTAACAAGCCTCTGGAAGCTAAGCGAGGCGGAGTGATGGAAGGAATTTCCGGTGCTTCGCTGGAGCTCGTCTGTCATCACAAGTAGGCAGCTTTTCAAAATCATATTGCACATGAATTCATGAATCGTCATAAGTTATTTTTTATATATTTTTTTTTTTGGTATTCAGGTTACACGGCAATGTTTACTCCATGGAGGTGTTATCAGCTGGAGGGGTTGACAGTGGGAGGAGGAGGGACTCCATAATTTTGGCGTTCGAGGATGCAAAGTTTTCTGTGCTCGAGTTTGATGATTCCATACATGGTCTTAGGACCAGGTGAGTGAATTTATGAAGTACTTTTATTGATTGAGGTGTCTCCACAAGTCTGGCAAGCTACGCCGCAGTACAGAGTATTTCTGATGCTTTGGTGCAGATAGTGTGAATAGGATTTTAAAATGCATGGTAATCATCTTACTTGTTTTTTGGATTTAGCTCAATGCACTGTTTTGAAGGTCCAGACTGGCTTCATTTAAGAAGAGGTAAAGAATCATTCGACAGAGGTCCATTTGTAAAGGTTGATCCACAGGGCAAGTGTGCTGGAGCTTTGGTTTTTGAGCAACAGATGATAATACTTAAAGCTGCTGAGGTTCGCATACAGTACTGCTTTGGTGTCTTCTCTTGTTTTTTAATATATATTTAAAATCTGAGACTGGTGAATTCTGTAATTAGGCTAGCACTGCTTTAATTGGAAAAGATAGTGCACTGAATGCGGGAGGTGCATCTTCTGCTCGTATCGAGTCTTCTTATATCATCAATTTGAGAGATCTTGATGTGAAGCATGTTAAAGACTTTACATTTGTTCATGGTGGGTATACTACATCTACACTTGTTTAGCTTACTGCATGATTAACACAATTGATATTAGAGTCCTGGGGAAAGGGCAATCAATGATTCACCATTCATCATCAACAACAACAACATACCCAGTATAGTCCCACACAGTGGGGTCTGGGGATGGTAAGATGTACGCAGACCTCACCTCACCTTTATAGGGTAGAGAGGCTGTTTCCGATAGACCCTCGGCTAAGAAGAGCTTAGTCAAATGCAGAGATGAATGGTGATGATTCACCATTCATCATCAACAAAAAAACCTAGTATAATGGAAATCAAGCTGTATGCAATCTTATCCCTAAAAATATTTGAGGGGTTGCCACTGCTAAGAAGCAATGGAGCCATTTGATTTACTTAAACATTGTAAAAATGTCTCTTTTAGCTCATTTGGAAAGGCACACAAATAATCACCATTCATCATCACAAGTGTGTTCTATATCTTGATATTCTTCATAATTATATCCTAATGCAAAAATACAATGGTCATTCTTTCCATGCACATTGCACCCTCCCTAATAGTAAACCAAACCAGTAAAATATGTTTAAGCCATAGTACTTCCAGGTTGTTCGAGCCTGTTCCATTCTAACTTTGTTCTTAACCTCTAAGTTTAAACCAATATGCTCATTCTAAGGTTCAAACCATGAAATGGACATATTATTGGTATTTGTTTATGATGTGAAATTCATTATACGCCATGCATGACTTAAAATATTTGCTATTTTTTCTTGTTTTTTAAATTTTTATGTAGAAGTCATTAGCTGTAAATCTGTAATGATATAAAAATTATACTTTGAGATAAATAGTCGTTGTTATCACCGGATAATAATCTGTACGAGACATAAATTTGAATGGTTAATGTAGCCAACTCATTCTTTTCACTATTTGGATTTTTTCCCCAGAATATTCCTCTAACCATGAAATATCCACATCCAATGTGAGGCTATCTTTGGATAGCACAACATATGTCATGTTGTTGCATAATGAGAGAGGCTTTCTCTATTTGTTGAGGCACTTTGAATGACTTGCACATTCAGTAGTTTGAAATTGGTCTTTCTACAGGTTATATTGAGCCTGTAATGGTTATCCTTCACAAAAAAGAGCTTACTTGGGCTGGCCGTGCATCATGGAAACAAAACACATGTATGATTTCAGCATTCAGTATCAATACAACACTGAAGCAGTCTCCATTGATATGGTCACATTCTGTAAGTTGCAACTTTGTTTGAAATTTGATGAATTAATAGGAATATAAAGTTTGGATTAACACTTGATTGCATAACAAGGATTTAACTGAATCCCCCCCCCCCACCTAATCTTTTATAAATTGTTATGGGATTGAGTTGCAATAGCTATAGAGGCATGAAGGTCTATGAATGTCTAATTGAAGCTAGGTTTCGGAAGGAGGTTAACATTCTTGAGAGTCAATTTTGTCTCATTCTTGGCCGATCACTTATGGAGGCCATTCACCTCCAGGCTAATGGAAGAGTAAAAGGCTAAAAAGTACTTTCATATGGTGATTATTGACCTAGAAAAGGCATACATCATGGGGTCGGGAGAGATTTTGACATCTTGTGGAGGTGCCTAGAGTTTAGAGTTGTCGTGATGACAAACATTCGTGCAGTTAGGGATAGGTATATTGGGGTGCTGACTAGGATGAAGACTATTAATAGTGACTCTAACCTGTAAGAATGGGGTTACACTGGCCCTAGTCCCTTCTTGTTTGCTTCGGTGATGAATGTCGTGTCGCAGGATGTCAAAGGGAGGGTACCTTGGTGCATGTTATTTGCCGATAATATTATATTGATCGATGAGACATGTGAGGGACTCAACAACAAGTGGGAGATGTGTCGTCATTCTATGGAATCCAAACACTTTAGATTGAGTAGGACCAAGATTGAATACATGGAATGTTAATTCAGTGGCCAAGGGTCAGAGTCCAAAGTGAAAGTTAGGATTGATTCACATTTAGTCCCTAAGAGGGACAAATTTTGGCATCTTGGTTTGGTCATACAGGTATATGGGGAGATAGATGGGGATGTTGCTCACTTGTTCATCATATTAGAAGATATCATTTAGAATGAAAGGGAAGTTCTATCAAGCAATATAAGACCAACTATGCATAACAGAGCAAGTGCTGGGCGGTAAAGAAAAGCCTCGCATGTCTTGTGCATGTGGCAAAGATGAGGATGTTGTGATGGATGTGTGGGGAGACAAGGTTTGGTAGGATTTTGTATGAGGTTCGGGGCCGGGTGGGTGTGGCACCTGAGGAAGATAAGTTGCGAAAAGCTAGGTTGAGGTGGTTTGAGCATTTGAAACGAAGAAGCTTAGAGGCCCCAGTGCAGAGATGCTATAAGCTTACAGTAGTGGGCAAGAGTGGGGGACGAGATAGACTTAGGAATAGTTAGAAGGAGGTGATTAGACAAGACCCTAGGGATAGTTAGAAGGAAGTGATTAGACAAGACTTAGGGATAGTTAGGAGGAGGTGATTAGACAAGACTTACTTTTGGGTCTTATCTAATATATGACCTTAAGATAGGAACAACTAAAGTCTAAAGATCTAGGATTAGAGTACTTGTGTAGTCCTCTAAGCCTTGGTGGTAGTTTTGAGCGGGTGCTTTTACGCTTGTTTTCGTGTGTTTTTTCTGTGCTTGGAGTTTAATTTCCAGTGTGTGTGCTTCTTGACCGTACACACCTTTATTTGCCCTTAATTTGTGTTCGTGCTTTGTATAACCTTTGTTGCTTTTCATTGACTGTGTTACTAATAGGGGTCTTGGAAATGGCCTCTCTGCTTTCAAGCACGGGTGAAGTCTGCGTATACACACCCTCCTGAACCTTACTTTTTGCAATAACAACAACCCGGTAGAATCCCACAAAAGCAGGGTCTTACCCATACTAAAAGTAGAGAGGCTGTTTCCAAGAGACCCCCAACTCAAGCAGTACAAAAATCAAGTAGCACGACAAGAGGACAGAGTACACGGTGAGGAAAAAAATGATAAGGCATAAGGTACATGGAAAACTGTAAGAAGAAACACATCAAGCCAACACAACACACAACAACACGAACAAAACTAGCACCCTAGATTAAACGACTACCGAACTACTCTAATCTTAGATCTCCATACGTCCCTATCTAATGTCATATCCTCGGTAAGAGCCAAGTGTCCTAAGTCCTGCGTAACCACCTCCTTTCAATTCTTCCTAGGTGTACCCCTTCCCCCAAACCCACTAACTATCGAAAGCCTCTCACATCTTCGCACCGGGGCCTCAGGTGCACACCTTTTTACATGACCAAACCATCTCAACCTAACCTCTCGTAGCTTATCATCCACTTGTGCCACTCTCACCCGTTTCTGAATAACCTCATTCCCGTTCCTATCCAACTTTGATTGCCTACACATCCACCGTAACATCCGCATTTCTGCTGCATGCAGCTGACGAATGCAGACTTTCTTAATCGGCCAACACTCCGCAACATAAAGCATTGATGGTCTGACCACGGACTTATAAAACCTTCCTTTCATGTTTTTTTGAAATTATTTTATCACATAGAACTCCTTACGCCAACTTTCACTTTGCCGACACAGCTCCAGTATGATGAACAACATCCCCATTGATTTCTCCATCCGCCTGAATAACCGAACCAAGATATCAGAATTTAACTCTCTTAGGGACTAAGTGTGAATCAATCTTAACTTCCACCTTTGGCTCTGTCACCAGACCACTAAAACCACATTCCACGCACTCAGTCTTAGTCCTACTCAATCTAAAACCTTTGGATTCAAAGGATTGAAGCCACACCTCTAAGTGGTCATTGAGTCCTTCACGAGTCTCGTCGATCAAAATAGTATTGTTAGCAAAAAGCATGCACCAAAAAATCTCTTCCTGAATACCATGCGATAAGAACATCCATCACCACAACAAATAGGTAGGGGTTAAGGGCAGACCCTCTTGTAACCCCACCTTTACAAGTCAGAATCACCTCCTACAGTCCTAACTCTAGTGCTTGCCCCGACATACATATCTCTAACTGCACGAATACATGCAATTGGAATCCCTCTAGCCTCAAGACATCTCTACAAGATCTCTTTTGGCACTCTGTCATATGCCTTCTCGAGATCAATGAACACCATGTGAAGATCCTTCTTCTTAGCTCTATACTCTTCCATCAACCTCCGCAAGAGGTGGATAGCCTCCGTGGTCGAGCGGCCAGGCATAAAGCCAAATTGGTTCTCACAAATACATGCCACCTTTCACAATCGAGCCTCTATGATACGCTCCCAGACCTTCATGGTATGGCTAAGAAGTTTGATGCCTCTATAGTTATCGCAACTCTGGATATCACCTTTTCCCTTGTAAAGTGGGATCACCACTACACTTTCCCTCCAAAACTCAGTTTTAACTTCATCACCCAAGCCAACCTGTGGGGCATAAGCGCTCACGATGTTGATAGCACATCCACCAAGGGCTAACTTAATAGCCATCAACCGGTTGCTAATCCTCCGCACCTCCACCACAAACTCCCGATGCTCTGGAGCCACCAAAATACCAACTCCATTCTTGTTCCTAGCAACACCCAAGTACCATAACTTGAACCCGTCCACATCACGTGCCTTGGTGCCTACTCATCTTGTCTCCTGCATGCAAGCCACCTGAATCCTCCTGCTGAGAATCTGGACCAACTCAATCGACTTACCAGTGAGGTTCCTATGTTCCACGAGCCAAACTGCACACTAGACACTACCCTACCCCCCTGAGCTACTCAGTCTGCCACTCTGCCCACCCCAGGATACGATCTTAAGTTCACATTACTAATAGCAGCCACCTTACCCACACACCAATGCAAACAAGAAACAAGTAAGCCAACACACAACAACAATCAACGAACAAATAACAACAATAATACTAACAATAATAAGAGCAAGGAAGCACAACAAAGAATCAACAATAAAAGCAATAATAGCAGTGAAAGAGAGGAGGGTTGCTGTGATAGAGCAGGGGTAGGGTTAGGGTTAGGGCAGGAGTAGGGTTAGGGTGAGGGCAGTTGAGGCNTATGGCGGTGACGGGAAAGGGACGGCGGTAGGGAGAGGAGTTGAGGGAGGGAGGATTGCGGAAGGGAGGAGGGACGGCCGACATATCTGGTCAGCGAAGAGTCGGGTTAAGAGGTAGGGTTGGGTTTGAGGGGGAGGGGTACTACTTACCTGGGGCCTGAAGCTGTTTGACCGCCGTATCCCGTTTCCGACCTACGCTGCTGATACAACCACCACAGACGCCGGCAAGTAGGACCAGAGATGCGTTAATTTGCACAGAGGTTGAAAGGAAAATTTGCAGATCGCAACGAAGGGAGTCATATCCATACACTAACAAATGTGAATAATTTTCTCCAACTCTGCTTTCTATGCAGTAGATAAATCCTAGCTTCGTGTTGTTATAGTTATTACACTATCTATCTAGATGAGTCATGGAATTTTGCAGTGCTTATTTAAATTTCTTTAAATGCTTCATGTGTCAAGACAAAGATTTGAAACTATGCTCCACCTAATTCTTGTAGGCATAGTTTAAAGTTTTCTAGTTAGGAATGCATTGCTTGAAATAACCTTAATTTAATTAAATTTTGATTGATAGAAATATCTTTAAGTACATTTAATTGTTTTCACTCCGCCTTTGTCTCCAGAATTATCCACACGATGCATATAAGCTTCTTGCAGTGCCATCTCCTGTTGCTGGAGTTCTTGTACTTGGAGCAAACACTATTCATTATTATAGTCAGGTTGAGAACCTTATTTCAAGTTCTTTGCTATAAATTTGTTTGCTTATTACTCCATTTATGTTTTCATTTGATCATTGATATGCGTTTCTTGTTTTCTCTTGCTGGATCACATAATGCATGCTTATGATATTTTGACCTTATCATTTTCAGTCAGCTTCATGTGCTTTGGCTCTGAACAATTTTGCTCTCTCTGTTGATAGGTGAGGGTTAATTATCCCCCTTTAGCTAATAAATAATAATGCTGCTCTCTCTGTCTCTTTGTTCAGTACCTTTCTTACGTCTTTCTTTTAAGATTTTGGTGAATTCTATTTCAGTTTATGTTATAGTTTCTATGCTTGTGAATCATAATACTCCCTCTGCCCCTCTAGGTTCTTCCAAGTTTCTATTTCACAAGGTCAAACTTTATTCTCATTCTTTACATCTTTTCTTTGATTATTTGATAAAATAAAATAGTCTTGTCACCAATTTTTTAGATCTTTTGATGTAGTATTTAAATATATTATTTTTTATTTTTTAATTACACACCAATCTTCATATAAAATGAATTAAAAATAACTTAAGTCAAACATCGTGACGCAAACCGGGAAGAACCAAGAGGGACGGAGGGATTACTATATAAAGTGACACGGTTTGATACAAAGTAATTTCTTAATCTCTAATGCAGTGATTTGGAAATTAGTTTGGATTGTTTTTTTGCTTATGACATCATTAACAAACTGCTTTTGTGTATGCACTCTGTTTGGGCTATTTCCAGTACAGAAACTTCAAGAGCTTCTTTCAGTGTGGAGCTTGATTCTGCTAATGCCACTTGGTTGACAAATGATGTTGTGATGCTATCAACAAGGACAGGGGAACTTCTTTTATTAACACTTATACATGATGGAAGGTATATTTCTTTTCATATCATGCATCTGCAATGTTATGGTTGAACAATGAACTTTTTTTTATTACCAAGAGAACTGCTACTCTATTCTGACTTTCTGAGATGACATTATTAAATTATTTATTTGCAGAGTTGTGCAAAGGCTGGATCTTTCCAAGTCCAGAGCGTCGGTGCTTACATCAGTTAGGCTTCTTAAAATCTTTATGTTACCTTCTAGTTTTGCATAAATATAGCCACATAGGGATGTTCATTGCATCGTCATTTGGGCATTTTGACAAGTCTGGCTGTTTTGTAGGGAATCTCTACTGTTGGGACCTCATTATTCTTTTTGGGCAGTCGATTTGGGGATAGCTTGCTTGTGCAGTTTACTAGTGGTTTAGGAGCACCAATGTTGCCTTCAGGTGGAAAGGATGAGGTTGTGCATTTTTGGTCTTGAAAAAAATTCTCATATGCTCATTAAATACCATCTAAGTTTAGCACCTCTATATTTTTTTTTACATATGTAGGCTGGAGATATTGAAAATGATGTCCCTTCTGCGAAGAGGCTGAGGAGGTCTTCGTCTGATGCATTACAAGATATGCTCAATGGGGAAGAGCTGTCATTGTATGGTACATCAGCAAATAATGCACAGTCAGCACAAGTAAGGTTTACATTTGAAGCTGCAGGTCTTCAATATCATTATATAATTCATGTAGCATCATTAACAAAGTAACAGCAACAGATGTGACCTGTAAAAGAAGTGTGTTAAATAGGAGGAACTATTTTCTTTTTACAGAACCTTTGTCTGCCAAAATGAGAAATATCATTAATAATGTGGAATCACTTCCGCTTATGTGGTTTTCGTGCTCTGTTTAGTGCATAATGTTCTGTGCTCCATTCCTTATTATATTAAATTCTTGGTGATGGGTGCAGAAAACCTTCTCATTTGCAGTGAGGGATTCTTTGATCAATATTGCCCCCCTGAAAGACTTTTCACATGGTTTGAGAATAAATGCTGATCCAAATGCCACTGGAGTTTCTAAACAAAGTAACCATGAATTGGTAAGTTGTGCATGCTATAGTTTATTGATTTCTAAATAAAGTGTCAATGAAATAGTAAGATCTAGATAACATTACATGTACTGTTAAGTTCTGCAAGTCATGCTTTGACCATCATAAATTTGTAAGAGGGAAACCATGTTTCAGAATATTGAATGGTTATAATTTAGTATAGACCAGGAATTTTTTTACTTGATAATATTGCTTTTGATGGGTTATAAATTCGTCCAAATTCTTCGCTAAACTTGCCTTTCTTGATCACATCTTCATCAATGTTACAAGGTTACAGCTTGTGCACATACAATTATCCAGAATTCTTTGGGAATATTTTCAGGTGTGTTGTTCTGGCCACGGGAAGAACGGCGCTCTTTGTGTACTCCAGCGATCAATTCGCCCAGAAATCATTACTCAAGTGTGCTCTTAATTCTTTTCCATTTTTTTCTACATGTATTTCCCCCCTTCGCAATGTGTTACTTAGAAATTATGCTTTATTGTTTTTGATTGTGGGTTTCATGTTTCCATTTCCTACCATAGTTTTTCATTTTATGCTATGTTTCATTAAAAAAACTGTTGCCTCTTTTTATTTATTTATTTATTTCTAAGTAGAAGAAACTGTGTTTTCTATTTCCATATTTTTTGCACAGTTTTCTTCAAAACACCAACTTTGTTGCAAATATTATGGAAATAGTTTGGTGAAAACATCCCAAGGGGTGATAAACTAAGTTCCCGTATTACCAAAACATACATTTCTAGATCTTACAAAGCACGTGGCTTGCTTCTAATATTAAATTTAATGGAACCACACACTCACCACCACACATAAGAAGAAATTAGGTGTAGAACTTGTGATATATGAACCCTTGTTTATTGGTCAGTAAGCTAATCTATTTTATAGTTGTTTGTTCAGATTCTAAGCGTAGCTTTATATTTTGAAGGAATCATTGCCTGGTTGCAAGGGAATTTGGACTGTTTATCACAAGAGCACGCGCAGTAACCTTAATGAATCATCAAAAAATGCAGATGATGATGATGAGTATCATGCATATTTGGTTATTAGTTTGGAGACTCGCACTATGGTAATCTTTCGACTCATCAATTGTATCATATTTTGTTGTTCTAGAGGATTCATTTGATAAAAAATAGAGGTGGACTCCAGTATTCTTATTTCAATAGTTAAATACTATGGGTAGGAGATGTGAAGCACATAGCTGCTATTTAGTTGCTTGCATCTTCTGTACCTGATATTCCTGCCTTAGATTTCGTTTATATTATAGCATTGCTTGTGAGATTTTGCTTTACCTTGCACACATACATAGCCTCTGATGATGAACAGAAATCTTCTAAATACATGATAGGAACTCGACATTCTCTCTCTCTCTCTCTCTCTCTATGACAAGTCACACACCTACATTTTGTCTTTCGTGGTACCTCTTATGTGGTATGCCCGTTTAGGATTTTTTACTAAGAATTTTGCTACTATGCATGCAGTCTTGCTCATCTTGGTTCCTTGTGGATCTTGACTTATGTTTTAAATATCTAATGAGTAATGACATGATTTTCTTCTTAAATCTGACAGGTTCTGCAGACTGCCAATAGTTTGGAGGAGGTTACTGAAAATGTAGATTACTATGTTCAGGGAACCACTATAGCTGTTGGAAATTTATTTGGGAGGTGATTTTTTTTAGTTTTTGAAGTTTCCTTGGATTTCATATTATCTATAACATGTGGTTGTTATGCATTATTATTTTTAGTATACTATTTCCTCAGAGTTTTTTTTTTTGGGGGGGGGGTGGCTTTGTACTTCTGGTTTGTGATCTTGGAGGGTTTATCTCGAACTTCTTAAGTCAAAGGTCGTTGGTAGCAATTGGGTTCTTCTACATCTTCAACTCATCTGACCCCTTAATCATTAAACAAATGGCTTTACTCGTTTAGGATCTTGTTCATGGATGATGTTGGCAAAATGACATATATAAATCTTACTGTTGAAATTAGCTTGATGTCCTAGCTTCAATTTTGTAGTTGCATCTCTTTATTTGGTTATAAAATGTTCGGACAATATATCAAGTCTTTGACATATATAGTGTATCATAACTATCAAAAGTTGAGGCTTTGGCATATAGTTCATCAATCTTTATATATTGTAGGCGTCGTGTTATACAAGTGTTTGGTCATGGTGCTCGAATTATTGATGGAACCTTTATTACTCAAGAGCTGAGTTTCAAGGCTTCCAACTTGGACCCCTCTTCAGGTTCTGAGGGTATTGCAGTATGTTCTGCTTCAATTGCTGACCCCTATGTCTTGCTAACCATGACAGATGGAAGTATTCAGCTTCTCATTGGTGGTATGTCAACACTTCTTGATCTTTCTTTTATTCTTTAAGTGTGACATGCCAAGGGATTTGTTTGTTTGTTTTTCATTGGCCACTCTTTACCCTTTACATTTGCTTTTCTTTGTTCTTAGTATGCTCTTTGCTACTACTTTGTTTGTTCTATGTGCCTTCTTTGTTGGTAGGCTTATCGATGGCGCAGATGGCGCGCGCCATATATGCGCCATTGACGATTTGGCCCCTAATCACCACAATTCTGGCTGTGGCAACCGGTGACCCCATGGCAACGCCATTGCGGCACCATCACCACGCCATGGGAACACTACGACTGCTACATTAAACCTTTTATTGCTAGATTGAACTTTTTATCAACTTAATTTTGAACTAATTTTTGAGTTTTGCTTAAGTTTTAATACTAGCGCCTTGATCTGTCTCTTGATATAGCTCTTCCATACTTTGATACCGTTTGTCCACCAGTAAGAATATACTGACATGAAATTCTTTTTATAGATCGTTCTGCATGCACTGTTTCTACTGCTACTCCAGCAGTATTTGGAAGTTCAAAGAAGTTAATTTCTTCTTGCACACTCTTTAGTGATGAAGGTCCTGAGCCGTGGCTTCGCAAGACTAGTACTGATGCTTGGCTTTCCACTGGCGTTGAAGAGGCAATTGATGGTGCTGATGGTATATCTCATGAACAAGGAGACGTGTACTGTGTCGTTTGTTATGAAGATGGTAATCTTGAAATCTTCGACGTGCCTACTTTTAGTTGTGTTTTCTCTGTGGATAAATTTGTGTCTGGAAGGAGCTACCTCGTTGACACCTTAATCCAACAAGATCCATCTATCGGTTCTAGTCTAAAAAGTTCTGGTGATGTTACCGGACATGGAAAAAAGGATGACATTCAGAACATAAAAGTAGTTGAATTGGCCATGCAGAGGTGGGTAGGGCAACATAGCCGCCCTTTTATTTTTGGAATATTGTCTGATGGAACTATTCTCTGCTACCATGCCTACATTTTTGAAGGTTCCGAAAATTATTCACAAAGTTCTACAAATATCAGTAGTGCTAGTGCTTCTAGGCTTAGAAATCTAAGATTTATACGCGTTCCACTTGAAAATTATGCAAGGGAAGAGGTATCACCTGGAAAATCATTACAACGTATAAATATTTTTAAGAATGTTGGTGGTCTACAAGGATTGTTCCTTGCGGGGTCAAGGCCAGCTTGGTTGATGATGTTCCGTGAACGACTCCGAATGCATTCCCAGGTAATTTAAACCTTCTCTACGTATTTCCGATAGGAATAGAATTGAGAGGGCTCCCCCTCCCCCGACTTCCTGTATATAATATCATGTGTTTGGAGTTTGATTGTCTTATTTTTAATGGTTCGCCCCCTTGCTTTTAAAAGTTAAGATTATATTTTAAATTTAGTAAGATATACATTTGATATTGAGTAACTAAATATTACTCCCTCCGTCCCGAAATAGATTACAATATTCTCTCACATTTTTGTCCCAAAAAAAATTACAAAGTCAATAACTTTACAAGGAATTGACTCTTTTACCCTCCCACTCCTACACTATTCACACACTATTCATCCATGTGAGTGGGCCACTTGGGGGGTAATTTGGGGGGAAAAAATTTGATTTGACTCTTCCTTAATTTCAACAAAAAGGGAATATTGTAATCTAAAGTGGGACGGAGGGAGTATGATAATAGACTTCAAAGACAAGTCACCTATTATTGATGTGATTGTAGGTCCTTCATGTTAGAAAAATCAGATTTGGAGTCTAAATAGAACATTTGTGAATGCATCTGACTTTTATACTCCCCCCCCTCCCCGTCCCAAAAGACATATATAGATATTTGCAACTTTAGACTTCAAATATATAGATATTTGCAACTTTAGACTTCAAATATATAGATATTTGCCTGGATGTGGTTCTCGTAATTTTCCTTCCTCAAATATTCCATTTCATCTCATCTCCTCTTCTAACCTCTAGTGGTTTGATGAGATTTCTCAGATGGAATCTGCATTCTTTATTTTATTGAGCAATCCCGGACCTGTTTTTACCAGCTGCCATTGTTACTGCCAATAATCATTTTCTTGAATTTGCAGCTTTGTGATGGACCTATTGCTGGCTTTGCTGTTCTTCACAATGTTATAACATTAGTACCCAAATATATATATTGATGTGTTCATTCCAAAAAAGTAAACAAACTAAAAAGACAAATACACGAAGTAAGAAAACCAGTACTGTGAGTGGAACCGACTTACCCCAATATTAAGTTCCCGTGAGATTTCTAAACGGCTGAAGGTGGAGTGAAAAGGATACTGTTGATAACCGGTCAAGTCTTCCATAACTCTCTCTCTCTCTCACACACACACACACACATTGCCTCCCCCTCCCCCCCAAAAAAAAAATCAACATTATTTTTTTCCTTGCTTTCCACTATTCTCGTTGGGTCTGTCTCACGCCTTGGGTTTCTGAAGAATTACACAAAATCTTGTGTAACTTTTAAATTTGTATTTATAATTATGATTATGATCCTGAATTCCTAATGCTCCCCCTCCCTATAATTAACTTTTTTCCCTGGGGGATATTGGGCAGATTCCATTGAAGGGGACTCCACATCAAGTCACTTATTTATCTGACAAGAATTTATATCCGCTAATAGTTTCAGTTCCGGTAAGGGTTATGATTCCGGCAAGTGTTATGATGTACAGAGTGTTAATATTTCAATTTACTGCTGCGTAATATTCAAGTCTTTTGGCATAGACGAGGGAATAAAATTTCTGAAGAATGCAAGTTAATATGTTTTTTGTTTTATCTTAAACAGGTTCTTAAGCCCCTTAATCAGGTTATTTCTTCTCTGACTGATCAAGATGCTGGTCAGCAACCTGATCATGATAACTTAAATTTTGAAGGGACTTATCAAATTGAAGAGTTTGAGATTCGGATCATGGAACCTGAAATATCCGGGGGACCATGGCAGACAAGGGCAAGTGTTCCTATGCAAAGCTCTGAAAATGCTCTGACTATTAGAGCTGTGACACTACTCGTAAGTTCTAACAATGTCGTTTAAAATCCTTTCTTGTCCAAAAACAACCACATTTCATAACTGAGGCAATTTTTCATGCTTTTTTTCAAATCAATGCCAATATAAAAGTTACAAACAAGTTCAATGTAATAAATATGTTTTGATAAATGTCCGGTGGGCCAAACATAGTGTGGGGGTACACCCTCCGTTTGTGCGGATATGAGCAATAGGCCCAACACAAAGGTCTCTAGGGGTTCCAACCTAAAACCAATTGGCAATTGGAGGAGAGGCCATGAACTTATATGTGGGTATTCTTTTTGCTCTTTTTCCAGCGGGGGAGAGAACTCCCAAGTCCCAACACTGCCTCTCAAGTGCAATTGCCTGGCGTTTTTTTCTCTTTCTTGCCTTGGGCCGGACAGCCCAATAGACTAGAAGTTCAAACCCAGTCCAAACCTGCTCTGATACCATGATAAAAGTTTGGTGGGCCAAACAAAGCATGGGGGGGGGCACACGCCATTCGTGCACATTTGCGCAATAGGCCCAACACACAAGTCCATGGAGGTTCCAACCTAAAACCAATTGGCAATAGGAGAAGAGGTCATGGACCTCATATGTGGGTATTCTTTTTGCTCTTTTTCCGGTGTGGGAGAGAACTCCTAACACTGCCCCTCAAGTGCAACTGCCTGACGTTGTTTTCTTTCTTTCTTGCCTTGTGGCTGGCCAGCTCAATAGACCAGGAGTAGTCTGTTTTGTGGAATAATGAATCTACTCACTTATAAATGTGTATTTAGTATTTATAGAGTACTAAGGAAAATTTACACAAGAGCCCAATTAATAACAACTAATTATTTAGTTGTCTAACATCCCCTCAAGTTGAGTGTGCAGTAGAGATGTCAATTTCTACTCAACCCTATGGATATCTGAACCATCTGACTCACTCTAACGGACAAGAACCCGAAAAAATATGGATGATTATATGGATGATGGACGGATGAGAAAAATCCTCACCCGCATGGATCCCACTTATGGTTATTAATATGCTAGAATGACTTCTTTTTTATCATCAAACTTTCCATCTGTGCTTCCAGAATACCACAAAAAGAGAAAATCAAACACTTCTGGCTGTTGGGACGGCTTATGTGCAAGGGGAAGATGTTGCTGCAAGGGGTCGTGTGCTTATATTTAATGTTGAAAGGACAAATGACAACAGTCGGACTTCGGTATCTTCTCTACCATTTAGCTTTTCATTCTTCTTGTCTTTTCAAAATCAATTATTTCATTATTGCTTACATGTCCTTGTTTCTCAGGTCTTGGAAGCCTTTTCCAAGGAGTTTAAGGGTGCTATTTCTGCTCTTGCTTCACTTCAAGGTAATTTGTTGATAGCTGCGGGCCCTAAGATCATCTTGCACCAATGGACGGGTTCAGAACTTATTCCTATTGCCTTCTATGATGTCCCCCCTCTCCATGTTGTGAGCTTGAACATTGTATGTATCATTACACAACCTTCTTCTTGATGTCTGAAAATGCATATCACTCTTCTTTCTGACTCGACCTCTCTGGTGCATGGCTTTATCGCCTTACTTTTGAAACGTTGAAAATACCAGGGAGAGAAACCAGGGATGAAGGAAAGATAATTTGGGGAGTTTAAAAGATAGGCTCAAATCCAATAAATGATTTTGATATATTTCTTCAAATTCATTTATAAATAAATGTATGTTAGAAAAATAAGAAGCCTAAATGCATACATTTTGTTTTTAAATCAATAATATTTCATTTCCCTTTTCATTTTCCAAAACAAAGCCACTCAGTATAAATTACTTAACATTTTCCCTTTTCCCTAGTATTGTCAGGGATCCAAACATATCCCAAAACAAAAGTAGTGTACTCCCTTGAGTCTTGGATAACTGGAAGTGTTGTAGTTTTTGGACTCTAATAACACATTGGAAAAGTTTGTTTCAATAAATAACATGGTGCAGTGAAGAAGTTTTTGCCGCACCGACTTTGCAAAGCCACAAATTGCTACCATCAGCTTCATTTTCTTCTTCAAGTTTTGTAAGATAAACTAACTTATGCATGATGATATATTGCTGCACAATGTTTTTTAGGTGAAGAATTTCATACTTCTTGGAGACATTCACAAAAGCATATATTTCCTCAATTGGAAGGAGCAAGGGTCTCAACTTGCTTTATTGGCTAAGGATTTTGGGTCACTTGATTGTTTATCAACTGAGTTTTTAATTGATGGAAGCACTCTTAGTCTTGCAGTCTCAGATGATCAAAAGAATATTCAGGTTTGCACTCCTACTCTGTGCAGAAGAATACATTGCTGCTCTTTATTCACTGTTGCTCCAAGTGAAGTGCCCATTTGTTGCCAATCTTTCAGAGTTTCTATCAAAGCATTAACTTGATTGACTTAGTTGACCAAATTAGCTGATAATTTAAAAAGTAGTGCGTAAAATCCAGTTTGGTAAGTCTGAAAACAGCTAAACTGATTTTCCTAAGCGGTGGTTGAATATGCTGAATTATCTTTTAAAAAAATTAGATGGTGTGTGTGTGTGTACATAAATTGAAGAAAAAAACTATTTAAAAAAATTTGAAGCATCAACTTAAGCAAGTTCAACTAAAAAAAGTGACTCAGCACTGTGAAATAAGTTATGTTGCCAAAAATGAAACCACCGAACATTCTCTGATTTTTTCTTTGGGGGGGGGGGTTGGATATACTTTTAAATAATTCAGCGACTTTACAACCACTTCAGCCATAATTTCAGTAAATGTTACCACTCCAAACAAGGTTTACCCATACCAAATGTGCCTCAAACCTTTTTCTTTCAACTCTGACTTTATGTTTTGATTAGGTTTGCTTCAATTTGGAATGTTTTAGGCCTTGATTGATTTGTGACACATCATCAGATTATAGTTTTTGCTCAAAATGCAGATATTTTATTACGCGCCAAAGATGGCAGAGAGTTGGAGGGGACAGAAGCTTCTGTCCAGGGCAGAGTTCCATGTTGGTGCCTCCATTTCCAAGTTCTTGCGGTTACAGCTGCTTCCAACTTCATCTGACCGAACTGGAACCGACAAAACAAATCGCTTTGCTCTATTATTTGGTACACTGGATGGTGGGCTTGGATGCATAGCTCCTTTGGAAGAACTCACTTTCCGTAGGCTTCAGTCTTTGCAGAAAAAGCTTGTGGATGCTATTCCCCATGTGGCAGGACTGAACCCGAGATCTTTCCGGCTGTACCGGTCTAATGGAAAGGCTCATAGGCCCGGGCCCGACAACATTGTAGATCTCGAATTGCTTTTCCAGTAAGTGGTGGGGGCGGGTGGGAGTAGTAGCTTCCTATTTAGTCTCTTAGGACCCCTGCTTTCTGAAAAAAAATGTGCATTTTGAATTCATTTTCTTAAAGGTCTTGTCTGGTCTAAATCTTTCTGTTTGATTATTTGCGGTTTTGTTTGGGTCTGGTATGCTCTGATTTTATCTATCTTCCCGTCTCAAATTTTGTATTCTGTCTAGTTTGGTCTATCCTTTCCAACCTTATTCGGATGGGGGTTTATCAAAAACTGTCTCTCCTCCCTCCACATGCTGAGGTTAAGTCTGCGTACATCTTAGCCTACCCAGACCCCACTTGTGGGGTTTCATTGGGTTTTTGTTGTTGTCTAGTATGGTCTGAATGTTTTTACTCTGATCTGAATATTATTGATCTTATCTGGTTTTCTTGTTTGAAATACTGTCTGCATTTGTTCTAGTCTTGTCGGACATGAAATATCTTTGGCTTAGTTTGGTCTGAATTCTGGTCACATGTGAATCCTTCCTTACTTTGGGGGTTGATGTGCAGTTATGAGATGCTGAGTTTGGAGGAGCAGCTTGAGATTGCCCACCAGATTGGAACTACTCGCACCCAGATTATGTCCAACCTTAATGACTTTACCATTGCCACAAGCTTCTTCTAATCCTAGTACTGTAAGTCTGTACTACATTTAACTGGAAAACACAAAGGAAAGAAAAAGCTACCCTCATCTTCTATGTATATGTATATATTTTCTTTCTTTTATTAGAAGAAGAATTAAACCATCTTGTATTGATGTTGTGACTCTTCTTTCTGCTGAAATTGCGCAATTTTGACGTGGTAAGAGGAAACTAGGAAAGCAGAGTGTTGTAAGGGACAGTTTCTGATCGATTAAATTCACTGTGTGACGAATCAAATCATGTGGATCAATGTTAAAAGTAATATCACACCTTGATGGGATGAATGGATTGTTGAGTTTTATTTGCCGATTTTTTGTTTTGTTTTTTGCCCCGTCTATTGCCCATTATAATGTGGCGTATGCACTTTAATATCCGTATACTCCCGTACTAAAAGCATGGTGTGTATTGGTATTTCTGCTTGTGATCTTACATTATGTGCAAATTATATCCATATACTCCCTCCGTCCTAAAACTTTCTTCCCAGAGTACTATTCTAACTTCACGGGAATTTATTTTTATTTGTGTTTTTTCATGGCCTATATGATAAAATAAAATATTCTTGTCACCACTTGTTTTGTTGAACTTTTGATGTAGTTTTTAAATATATATGTTTTATTTTTTATTTCTATACCAATATTTAAATAAAATAGATTGAAAAAACTTGGGATTTTTCTTCGTTTTGCGCAACAGGAAGAAAGTTTTAGGACGGAGGGAGTATTTGGATGCGTATTATTGTAATGTTTTACATTTATCCATTGTTTCTCTTAGAAAATGTTTTTTGTGTTTTATTTTTACACATGTTTCTTCTAAAAGAATGCTCATTTGGCAATACGAGACTTGTTTTTATTTTTAAAATTGGATGTGATTTATATCTACTGCTACGTGATGTATTTTTGTACTTTGTATGGGAAAAACTTGTGCAAGGATGTTCAACTTTATTTTTCTTTTCACAAACATCGGGTTTGGGGCATTCTTGGAACCAACGATGGGGGAATTCGAGCAAAGTCCATTTTGTATTCCTATTTCCTTCACATCAACTACCCAAGTACTCTGAATGATTTTTATAGAGCAGATGAATTTTACATTAAAAGTGGAAAGAGAAAACTAAACACCCATGGAAATGAAATCATATGAAAATGCATATAGGATGGATTCCTTCATCTATTTTGCAATAAATGCATAATTAAAAGGGTGTAAAAGGTATTTGCATGTCTACTTAAAACATAAAATGTAACCAATCATAATAATTCGTTGCTAATAGTACTTTGCAATGAATGAATTTGTTAAACTTCAGAATGCCTTTGGTTGAATTATAAAAAACCACTTCTCAAGATTCATGGAAAAACTCACTCAGTTTCGAGTCTTGTTGAGAGATTGTCTCATTTAGTCATTTTGCATCATTTCGTTGAGAAAAGTTAATGAATCATTATTACTTTGTAATTAAATGAATAGTACTAAAAAAGAATCTAAACAAACCAATCAAACCATATATTCAGTTTCATGGAGTCTAAAAACATGTTGGAAATGGAAATTTTGAGCAAAAGTTATGGGGTATTTTAAAAGAGAATTATTATGAGCCTCCTTGTTTTCTTTAAAAAAATCGAGAAAAATATGATTTTTTCTTTTAGAACAGGGGAAAGAAGTGAAAAACAAAACACGAAATTCATATTTTAACATAGCAATGGTAAATAGTACTCGGTAGTACATCATATACAAATAAAACAAAACAAAACAAAACAAAAAAACACTTTGCACATACGGCAGACTATTATTGGGATGCAAATTGCACTTTTAGGATGACATTGCTCATAACATTTCTCATTAATAACACCAACAATTTGCCAATTCAGAGTTCGGGCAGAAATCGCTGTTTTCATAAAACCCGAAACTATACATAATGTACCTTATATGTAGTAATATATATACACAGACAAGAAATTTGACCTTTCAGCTGTGAACCAAATGAGCACTTGCCAAAACTTGGTGATATGTACTTACACACCTTTAATGCTACCTAGCTGAAGCTTCTCTGTTACAGTGGATGGGTAGGTTAATTCAGTAAGTACTCGCATTATAATAGCCTGTTATGTGCCTCTATCATGGCAGCTTTCTCCTGCAATGAAAAATCATACTATGTACAAAGAAACTTTCGAAAAATACATATTACGATTTTTTTCCCAAATATATGGTAGTATATTTATTCTGTAAACAACTTAATCATATTTATATATTTTACTCTGATTAAAAAAAATTATCTTGTATTTTCATGTCATTTCATATTGATTAAGCGCTTTATAAAGCTATAAAAGTAAAGAAGGGGAGGGGGGATCATGGTAAAAAAAATACAAATATAAATGGGTGATTGTTAACACCATTGATAAAATTATGTGAATGTCATTCATGTAACATTTATAGCTGAAATAAGTTAAGTGATACAAGTAATATGATCCTCACACGGGGGAAATTCATCACCATCAACACCTTAATACCTAGACCCTAGTAGTTGGGGTCGGTGGGATGAAGTTCGCAGTGCAAAAACAGATAATTTCACCTATAGTGCAAGTTTGCAGGTCAAAAGCATATTATGCATGCATACATACCTCATCTTGTGGGATAGCCTCAGGTGGAAACCAATGCATAAGAACTCCTAAGTGCATCACAGCAGGTATAAGTTTAAACAAGATAGGAGTTGTTACCTGTGTGACATTTGAAAATTGCACAAGTCACACTATTGGTAAAATAAGGGAAGAGTTTTGGGAACATTCGGTGAATAAAAAAATTGAGGCTCTTACAAGACTCAAAGCTGTTGTTCCAAGAAGAAGAAGGTATATTTTCCCCTGCACAAATAATATACCCTTAATTAGAACAAGTCAGTTTATCATTTGGGAAATTGATTTGATACCAAAATTAATTGATCAACATGAAATAAAAACAAATGTTCTCTGTCCCACAAAGATAGTTCATAATCTTTGTGAGTGGAAACAATTCATCTTGTATGCAATTCTCATTTTTATAATTTCCAGTGCAGACATGGATGATTAAGTGATGGCAAACATGGAAGTGAAAAATAAAATGCACACAAACTATCGTTGTGAGATGAACCAAAACGGACAATTATTGTGTGACGGAGGGAGTAACCAAGTTTGGTTTCTACAAGTTTACCATCGATTCAACATAGCAAATTTATTCTGAATAGTGTATGTAGAATTGAAATTACCCCGACAATATTTAAGTTTGACGCACGACTTAACAAAACAAATGCGAATTCTCCAATTTGTGCCAGCAACAGTCCAACCTGCACAAGTAACTCATCATTAATAATAGAACCGGATGTATATGTTTTTATATTAATTATTATCTGACAAAAACAATTGAATGGCAAACTTACAATAAACGATGTTCTAATGTTATACCCAAATGCCTTTGTAACTGTAGCAGCGACAGCAGTCTTAACCACAATCACCAGAATAACAGATGCAAGCAATATATCCACATGCGTCCACAGGAAGTGTACATGTATGAGCATTCCGATACTAGAAAGGAATAGAGCAGCAAAGAGGTTACGGATGGGTTCCACCTGAAAAGATGCAATTGTCAATCCAAATACTTTTTTCAGGTTGTAAATTCTAAACAGATTCTGAAGCCCACATGTCTCTATGCTATTTGGACAACAAAATCGGTAATATTAGTATGATAAGGGTCAGGTCGGTCAATTTTATTATTAGTTACTCCCTCCTTTCCCTAAATGATGTTTAAAATATCCTATCTCTAGAAATAATACATGTATGTGTGTGTGTGTGTATGTGTGTTTTTGGGAAGGGGGGGGTCATACATTGTTATATCTCAAAGATCACACGAATATGACTTCAGCAAACATTTGACAGCACAAAAGATCTCTAACTTACTTTCTACTCCGTATTAAACATTTATTAAAGATCCATCAAGAAAAAATCGAAGGATCAGAGATCATAGCAATGCTCAGCATAGATCATTGTCTTTCCCTCTTTTGGTGGGATATTAACCCTTCTGGAATTAGTGGAATCTGTTCTGTCATCTCTTAATCCTTGGAATCTTCAATCCAACTAATAGTGTGATGATATCTCTTATAAGCCATTTGAACTCTTTCTTGTGGTGTGGAAGTAAGCCCAAGAAAGATATACACTGGGCATCATAGGATAAAGAGCCACTTTGGTATTACTGTTATAAAATGCTGAACTGTCAATAAAACGTGTTAAACTATGTTGTGGAAAAAAAGTAGGTTTGGAAATTTAATAATATAATAAATTGCTATGAATATATAAATGTTTGGAAGTGAGGTGCTGAGATAATGATTTGGCGAAAGCTAGATACTATAGTGGTTTAAAAGCAGCTAGCTTTTAAGATAATTTAGAACTGTAGCTCAAGCTACAATACCTTTATTTTACCAGACCAAGTTTGGAATAAAAAGTGTTATGGTTTAAAAGCCGAAGCCTATCCAAAGTGGCTCAATTTTTCCTCTAAAACTGATGGTGGTTTGGGTTTAAAAAATTCTGGAAGATCTACACTTGGTTTTTAATTACAAACTTTGGTGGACGTTGGAACTTCTGACTCACTTTGGGCTGTGTTATGATAGCTAAATAATGTGCCTTTTCTCAATGTGATGTGACCCAATTTAAAACATTAGATTCCCCATCTTAAAGAGTAATTAAATGGAGGATTGGTGGAGGGAAAATAGAGTTTAGGGAGAACACATTGCTAAAATATGTTCCGCTGCAAACTGTTGAGCATAATGTCATTATAACCATAAGTATATCCAGATTAATGACATTAGGAGTGACTCTTATGGCTATCAAAGCGCTTAAGTGTGACTCTTATGGCTATCAAAATTTGTCAGAAAGTAGTAACTCCTAGAGCTGGGAACTGGTTCATGAGATGATGGGAATCAGATTGCAGGACAGACACATCTGAAGTGCTATTTACACGTGTTTAGGAAAGGGAAACATATTACTGATAACTTTCGAAAAAGGGAGTTTTAGGAGTATCATCACTTGGTAATGATGCTTGTTTTGAAACTAAAGCTACGAACCTTTTGTAGTTAGCTTACGAAACCTTTCCTTGTTAGGTTCCAGTATATTGAGGGTTAAAATTTCTATCTTGTATGTTGCTTGTTTCNAACACACACACCACCACCACCAAATTTGTTTGAACTTTGAAGCAACCAGTTTTTGAATTTGCTTAAAGATCTCCGGCAATTCTGTTTTATTTTTACCTACAAATGTTTTTCAGTCCTAACATGATTGTGAGCAAATGGGGTAATCTCAAAAGGGCTCTTGTAGCCCCACATGCTCATAAATTTCCATACCACTCCCCCATCTGCAGACACATAAATTGAAAAGAAAAAGAAGACACATGTACTCGCCACTGCATCAAAGGTATTGCTTTAATTCCCATCAGGATTACCTATCCTAATCTTCTCATCAATGTCTTCACTTTTACAAAATTTAGTGGTTCTCTACAATTCCATTATGATTCTATGTGATCCTTCATGATTCTACATACATTCATCTTGCCTGCAATTTTAATGCCTTGAATCATTAAACTGGATGACTCCATGAATTGGATCTCAGTTTTAACAACATGCCTAACACACTTAGGCATCCATTCTAATTTCAAATTAGTTAAAGTTTTTAGAAAAGGCAAACCTGTTCCAATGTATGTTGTGCAAAGTCGGTGGTAGAAATCATAACTCCAGCCACAAATGAACCCAACTCAAGACTGAGACCCAACTTATCACTGCACTGGAAAATCAAAGAGTAAAATGTTTAATATATGGAGATGATCTTTCTGTTTAACTTACAACTCTTAGGATGCACAAATATCATGGTATGAATATGAAACCAATTAGATCAAACCCAACATGGCTATAGCTCATCACAGAATAGAAAAAGTTATCACACTAACCCAAGCAGATAATAAGCAGAATGCCACTGCAGCTAGTTGATATAATTCATTGGTCTGCAAATAAAAAAAACTTGTAAGCCCACAGAGCACTTGATAACTCATCTACTCATACATTATCAGTATCACATACTCCCTCCGTCCCACTATTTTTGGGACAAGGGGGAGTGGCACGAGATTTAAGAAATGTAAGATTATGGGATTGATATTGAGGTTTAAAGCTAGATAAAGTAATAATGAATCATGAATGTGAGCCGCAAAGACATAAGCACATAACCAAATATGGCATGAGACAAACAAAAATACAGTAGTAAAAATGGACAAAATAGTGGGACGGAGGGAGAACATAATTAGACGATGATGGTTAGTTATGCATACTTCTCTAAAAGCAGGTGATATGGGGGGAGGGGGGCATTTAGTATTTCGGTATCTGAGAAAATAATAGTATGCACAAACAGATTAAGAATGGGCAACCACCATCAAATACTAAATAAGGAGACATTTCGTATTTCATTCCTGGTGAATCTTGGACACATTTAGCGCCTATGAGGCCATGATCGAAATGGCTGTGTAGATAAGCATATTTACAGTGGTTGAAGAACAAACATGACATGCTGGTTATCAAATAGAGTTCTCATGGCCATGCTAAATGCGTAGAGGAAGCCTAACTATGGTATAACTGTATAAGAACAAAAGTTACTCACTTGTGAAGATAACTGAACCATTAGCTTTAAAAAGCGTGGAACAAATGACCAAGTTAGAACAGATGCAGCAGAGAGAAAGAGGGATAGGATCAGCAGCCTACAGCAGATAACAAAAAGCAAGTCAGTACAAGCAAGATGATACATGAACTAAAGAAAAAGCTTGGCTTACACTTTTCCCATTGCAATCATTCCTTGCAGAATTCCACTATTGCCTCCAAGAACAGGAACCAAAGCAAATAATAAACCAACAGCACAATCCTGGCGTGAAGATACACAGGCTAAGGTAAGATTTTAGGATGGAAAAAATGTTTACTCAAATAGGCAGCCATGCTATTGAGATGGGAGATAAATGGGTAAGGCTAGTCATGAGCCACTCAGAATACAAATACTCGGTAAAGTAATAGAAACAAATTTGGTTACCTGGAATATAAGTGTACCAATTGTTACTTGACCGTGGAGGGAGTTATTACTGTTTCGCTCAACTAAAAACTTCACCACCTGTTGATTTAAAAATCAGCAAAGTGGAGATTGTGTGGGGTTGTCGGCGCTATAAGATAAAGATTCATAGATACAGATTCTTAATAATAAAAACAATTACCACTGCTGTTGAAGACATTGAGAGGAAACAGCCGACAAAAATGCCTTCTGACAGTTTTGCTCCACAAAGCTACAACAGATAGGGCAACACACAGCTAAGAATATTTGTACGTAGCGTAAGTATCAAATTTGAAAGCCATATTACTCATATACCATTGCAGTTATGCCGCACAAGAACATAAAGAATGCTATTTGAAGCAGTCCTCCAAGAACAGCAACAGGGCCTACGACTTTTAGCTGTGGAGAAAATTGAATTATATATCTTATTAAAAAAGATGCAGAAAGAAATATGACAGTATAACTACTTTAAAAAAATACAGCAAGTATCATAAGGATAGCAAATGCACCTTTGCCAGAGAGAACTCAAGACCTAAAGCAAAAAGAAGGAACACAACACCAAACTGGGCAAAGGTCTCAACCTGTAGCATGTGATTTACAAAATGAAACCCTCTCTCGTTACTACCAGTCTCTAGGAAGTCATAATGCGAAATGAAAAAACAAAACCTAACTACCCACATATGTTGGTATCACCACATGTAGGAAGATATTAGTGTCGCAATATGTTCGTTCAAAATTAATTGTGAAAAGAACTGTATAACACAATATTTTCTGGTGGGATGCTGGATCACATTAGCCTATGGTCTTGAATCTAAAATACTACGTAGCAACAAAAAACCGTAAGTAAACAGATGGGATAGGAATATATATATCTATTTAATTAAGGCATCTAAAATGGAAACAGACATTTTTCCCACTTTGTTTAAGGGGACGGGAATGGATAAAAACCATGGAACGGGTTATCACAGTTGGTTAGCACATTTAACACATACCTGTACCATTTCACTGATGAATTTTAGACCCCCAGGTCCAATTATAGAACCTGCTAGAAGATATCCAACTATAACCTACAATAGCAACAGCATTTACATTAATCTTTGGAACAATTAAGTGTAAGTATATATGTAACTAACAATGAATTGCAAACAATCAAAAACACAAACCGGTTGTCCCAAACACGAAAAAATAATTCCACCAATCGCAGCAGAGACAATAACAACCACCAGATCAGAAATAAGCCTACAAAATACAAGAAGATTGGTGTCAAATGTCTACGAAATAAAGCACTAGAATTTTAGATTCTTAAAAATGAAATGTACAAGAGTAAATCATCTAGAAGACCAAATGAAAACTAGGATATAACTGACCTCAGATCAACTTGAAGCATCGGATACTTTGATTTCTTATTCGACATAACAAAGACATTGTCCTACAGTTAAATAACAATTGTCAGGAGGTGTTGCATTCAAAAAGTGTTTACAAAAGGCGATTGTGAATGGCTGGCTATCAGTTAACCTTTTTGTCTATCAATGTTGTCATATCTTCAGAGTTTTCATTTTCCAAGGAAAAAACATCTTGAAGTTGAAACGGTTTTGTACCACTGTAGTAAAAAAGGAATACGAAATGAAAAGATAAATCGAAAGGTGAAAGGTCAAGATAAGCATGTGCAAGACTATCAAAATGAAATTTACTTTGCCTCGTGCGTTTCATTTTTCTTATCGTGTGTAATCACCGCAACAGTCTCCAGTACAGCCTATTAGACATTATATCACCAAGTTTAGTGTAAAAGAAAATTTATATAATTGGAAATCGATAGTAGATATAGCAAGCATCAGAGTTGAGATGCTCAACCAATCAACTCTAATCTATCAATGAAGACTAGCAGCATTGCAAACCTACTTCTTGATCAGCTACAGAGCTGTTAAAGCTGCTTTTATCAGAACCTGCGCAGAACAAAGTACTGTCACTAAATCAACAATTGACTAGAACTGTCATAGAGAAGTAAGAATCACCAAATGGCATCAGTTAAATAATTAATTAGAGTGTCTCCAATTGCCGTTGTTTTAAAGTATTTGGTTAAACTCTTAATGCTTCCATTCAGACTAACAACATCCGAGATGACACGTTTGTTCATACAGAAAGCATGGCATGCATATTGTTAAGTAGTTCAAACATTCTGATGGTGCTGTCTTATAGTAGGGTTGCTTGGGAAGGCAGCCCAAACTGGGTGCTCGTCAATCACTCTAAAAATGAATGCATCTGGTATAACTTAAGTGGGAAGCAAAAATGAGGGATGAGTACAAATCAGCATTGAGGAGCAAAGAGTCCCACCAAAGAAATAGTTTCAAATGTCTATGGAGGAGATTCTATATCCAAAAAGGAAAGACAGAGGCCTTTACAAAGCCCTACTATTGGTTCGAGATTGGCCTTGTAGTTAGGTCTGTGTTGGAAACGCAGAGAAAGATCAAAACAAGAACGTGGCACAGTCACATGGAAGAAGCATTGCAACAGCTTGAATAAAAAAAATTGCAACGAAGCTACTGAAACACAGGAACCAGAAAACCTAACCTTCAGGCTGATCGTTCTCCGAAAACTCTTTGTCGAGGACACGGCCAAACATTTTGGCGATGCTGCCTTCTCCATTCTCCGGCGCAGACGAGTTAACTAAATTCCCGTAAAACCGCTCCCTGGTTTCCTTCTCAGATCTCGCCGCAAAAGCTACGTTTCCGCAGGAAGCGATCGCAATCAGCAGAAGCAACCCGCGAATTGGGGACTTCTTCCCTCCGGCAACCCTCGCCATTGTAGAGCGAGAGGATAAGCGAAAACTGACACAATACCGCGACGAAAATCAAGCTTGTTTTCACGATGATTTGTACAAACAGATCGGAGAGTGGCGGCGGCGGCTCCCGGCGAAGTGTGATGTTGATCTGGGCGGGACGGAGCGGCGCGAAGGGGTCGTCAGAATTTGATCGGCGATTAAAAATTGAGCAAATTTTAATCACTCTCTCTTGTGAAGTAATTAATGTGAGTTGGAGTTTCCGTTTCTGCCAAATGCCCATTCTGCCACGTTACTCTTAATGGACATATTGTTAATTACTAAAACATTAGTTATAAAATTAAAAAATAAATAAATATTTCAAATTGGTAGCAGAAATAGATGAAGTATTTGGTTAAAGATTGACCATTTGAATAATAAATAAATAAAATTAAGTGAGATGGATGAAATACATTTATTTTCTCTTTTTTAATTTTTAAATATATACTCTGTATTCTTCATTTCTCAGAGAGTTATATTTTTAATTTTTTAAAAAATACTTTCTTTCATAGATGGCTTGACACAAATTTTAATATGAAATGTAAAATAGTTTAATTTACATCCTAAATTTGTCATTGATTTGGTGGGGAAAACCGAAAATGTTAGGCTATTGGGTATGGGTGGGGATGATCCCGACAATCACCTCACAAATGAGAGCCACAAAAGAGAGATGGTGAGAGAACAGGTGTGGGTGGGGATCTTGCTGAAGGAGAAAGAGGGAAGAAAGGAAGACGTTTGGGACAGTGGGAATGACCATGTCGAGCACGCCAACTACCAATTAATGTTTTGAAAACTGGACCGGACATCGAACTGGCGAAGCAAGTGGGTTGAGGGTTAATCGGTTGAACTGGGTCAATGACTCGCTCAATGGACCTATAATTATTCCTATAAAATTTTTTATATAGTTCGTATTATTTTACCATTTCAAACTTATATGTAGTTGATTAAAATAAGAGAGTAAAATAAAGATATGTCGTAACATGTTAATTTATAATTAGGAAATACTAAATTTTGAGGATGATAATAATTTTTAGATGGTTTATTCATATTTATATTTACATAAAAAGCTTTTGTTTTTTAATTATTTTTTAAATTCGTAAACAAAATTTACATTACATAAGTATAAGTATGACTTTCAAAAATAATTGAAGGTTTTTTCAATTATTAGTATAGACAAAGCCCATATATTGAAGTTAGTATGTACGGAGTAGTACGTAATCCATTTTACATGGATTGCAAACAAAATGTGTATGGCGTAATTGGTCACATTCTCCTTCAAGTCATTGCATTTTTAATTATAATTATAAAACGCAAAAGGCTTCAAACCCGTGAACCGGCGGTTTGTACGGGTTTTTCCTAAATGACTCACAATTTTTCAAAAACAAAAGAAAACATTTTTTGAGACGAAAAGAGTATTATTCCACAATTATTTTCCAAATCATCAATTTTTTTATGAGAAAAAGATAGCATTAAGCTATGTGTTATAGGACGTGAGTAGGGGCTTGACCACCATCACTGAAGTGGGGAAGAAGTGTTACCCTAATTCAAGTGTCGACCATCATTATTCCTCTCGTAAATTTTTTTAATATTCCAGTCAATCAAAATGTAATGCGTTTTAACACTTTATCACTTCTTTTTATATTTACTATAACACACTTATATATTTATCATTACACATCACACTCTTTTGCACACTATCAAATCCTGTCAATCCCTTCTGTAACACAGGGTCTTATGTTTTTTTAGTAAATTCCTAAAATAGTTCAAATGATGATTAATTGGATGTATTTTGGTACTTTATATCAGTTAAATGTAAGTACCAAAATACATCCAATTAATCATCATTTGAATAACGTTATTTACGAAAGATTATTTAAGAAATAAATGTAGGTAATTAAATGTAATACCAAAATACATCCAATTAATCATCATTTGAAATAAGTAAAATTTGCTCTAAATAGGACTAAAACATAATGACTTTCCTAATCTAGGACTTAAACTTTTTTATTCCCTAAATAGGACTTAATAATGACTTAGTGGGAGGAATAATGCCCAGTAATGATGGACATTTACTTGAATAATGACTAATTAATAATGACCAAAGGTCCTACATTGGGAAATAAAAACATATGATCCTCTATTGAGAAAGTCATTATGTTTTAGTCCTATTTAGGTAAATTACTCTTGAAATAAATGTAATATCATCTGTTTGGCGGAAGTTATGGCAGGTACGCACATTACCTACTGTCCGAAATCTGATTTGGAGGGCTGCTAATGATATTCTGCCTGTGCTCAAGTCTCTGGCAAAGAAAGGACTCCCGGTCCAGGCTGTGTGTACACTTTGTCAAGAAGAGGAGGAGATAGTTTTCCACCTCTTCATAAGCTGCCAATTTGCAAAACAAGTGTGGATGGCTTCTGATCTTGGCTGGTACACACCTAATGTCTCTAATTTTATAGACTGGCTTGAGAAGCTTTTTAATCTTTTTAATCAACAAGACCAGGCCCTTGCACTACACATTCTTTGGATGATTTGGGGTGCTCGTAATGCTAAGGTATGGCAGGCAGTGTTACCTACTCCTGTGGGTACATGGCTTAAAGCGAAGAGGAACTTTGATGATTGGTGGCTTATGGCCAAGCCGCAATTAACGACGGATCTGCAGAGTAGTGGAAGACGCATGTGGGTGCCACCACAGCCGGGTTTCATAAAGGTCAATGTTGACGCGTCCACGGGTTTGGTTGATGGAGTGGTGGGAATGGGCTTTATTGCTCGCAATGACCTTGGAGGCTTCATGGCGGCAAAGAATATGACCATTAGATGTAATTGTGGTCCAAGGGAAGCAGAGGCATTGTCGGTAAAAGAAGCTCTTAGTTGGATTAAATCGAGAGGATGGACGCACGTGGAGGTTGAAACAGATTGTAAAGACGTTGCAGATGGGCTCAATAATTCATCACAAGATTGGTCTTATTTCTCTTCAATTATTGATGCTTGTAAAACTCTGGTTGTCTCATGTAGGGGAGTTTTTTACTTCTAGTTTGTATATCGCTCTGCTAATGAGGCAGCGCATGTGTTGGCGCGAGCTTCTCATTCTTCTCAGAGCTTGGGTGAATGGGTTCATTTACCCCCAGATTTTATCATTCCATTAATTTAATGCAATCTTTGGTTTTTCAAAAAAAAATTACTCAGGAAAAATACATTATTATTTACTCCCTCCGTTCTCAAAAACACTTCCTCTTTCATTTTTTTTTCACTTCCAACAAAACACTTCCATTTTCTATTAAAAAACTACTTTTACCCTTTTTTTTCATACTCTACCTATCACATCATACTTTTTCTCTAATAATCTATATATCACATTTTACTTTTACTCATCCCATTAGAGACAAAATTGGAAGTCAACTACTCCCTCCGTCCTATAATGATCTTCCCAGAGCACTATTCCAATTTCACGGGAATTTATATTTATTTGTGTTTTTTCATGGCCTATATGATAAAATAAAATATTCTTGTCACCACTTGTTTTGTTGAACTTTTGATGTAGTTTTTAAATATGTATGTTTTATTTTTTATTTCTATACCAATATTTAAATAAAATAGATTGAAAAAACTTAGAATTTTTCTTTTTTTTGCGAACCGGGAAGATCATTATAGGACGGTAGGAGTATAATTTAACACTTTGTTAGAATTAAAATAGCAAGCCTTTTTCAACGGAGGGAGTACTTTTTTTAGTAGCGTGACTACCACACGCTCTTTAAAATCTCTGGATACATACCATCCGCACTGCTCAGTGCTCTCTCCATCTATCGGGTAATCTGAAGGTCAGATCCATCTACAGAGCGCTTCGATTTCTCAAACATGGCGACCATCGGCTGCTGTTACGCCTCACCGATCGTTCGTCAAGCAACGCCGCTCACGGCGACGAATCCCCGGCGGCGGATGGTGGCGGTTAGAGCCGAAGGTATAATAAATCCAGGCATCAGGAAGACGGAAGACAAAGTCGTGGACTCCGTCGTCGTCACCGAACTCGCTAAGCCCCTCACTGCTTACTGCAGGTCATTTTCCTGGCCCCTTGTTTCATTTGAGTTGCATTTTTGGCTGTGCTTGATTTCATTTGCGATTGAAACTGTTGTTCGGATTACTTCCCAACTAGAATCATACTATTCCGTGTAAGACTTTGTGAAACTATCCGCCATATCTCAAATATAAAAATCTCTATTTCGGGTAAGTCCCTGATGAATACTCGATTACGAACAACTGAATACTCATTTTTGAAGAGTATCCATGTTTGAGCAACTAAATCTCTCTTTTCTAAAATTCAGTTATGCTCGTAAATGAGTATTCAATTGTTCAAAAAATGAGTAATCAATTACTCGAAAATGAGTATTCTACGCGAACCATCAACCTCCGGATGGATGGTATAGGTAGTCCAATTACTCTAATCTTAGATTTTCAGGTATTCTTATACAACAACCTGGTAGACTCCCACAAAAGGAAGGTCTATGGAGGATTGGAGGGTGTGTATGTAGATTTTACCTCTTTTCAATAAACCTCTAGCTCGAGCAACACTAAAAGCACAAAGCACGACAAAAAAAAGAAACTAGCAAACTATAGATAAAGAAAAGCGCAAAAAAGGCGAACCAAGCATACAAACCGTTGTTAGCAACTACCGAGTAAACCCTAAGCATAAAAGGAACACAATTGCAAAAGCAAAAACTACCACTAAGGCCTAATCACCCAACTCATAGATCTCCACGTAATCTAAGGTCATATTCTCGGTAAGGGGGTCAAAAGTGTTAGAATCATGTTTAGTCCCCTCTTTCCAATTATTCTTAGGTCCATCGTCTACTCCTTCCCCCCGTCCACCTACTCTTGCAAGCCTCTCACATCTGTGTATTGGTGTCTCAAAGCTATGCCACTTCACATATCCAAACAACCTAAATTTAGCTTCCTGCAGCTTATCTCCCACAGATGTCACTCACACTTGCCCCCTCATAACCTTGTTCCCGATTTTATCAACTTCATTTGTTCACACATTCATTGTAGCATTCTTATCTTTGTTGTATGCAACAAACAAACGTTGTTTTTCTGAACTGCCTAGCACTCCGCTCCATAAAGCATAGCCGAGCTGATGCGACTATGGGTTGATAGATCTTCCCTTTGACCCTTTTCAAAATGTTCTTGTTGCGCAGCACTTTGGAGTCGGCTTCCACTTTGCACATGCCGCTCCAATACGTAGAATAACATCCATGTTCATCTCCGTGCCTGAATGACCGAATCAAAATACCGAAACTTGTCTCTCTTTGGCATTTTGAGTGTGAATCAATCCTTACTTCCACTTCCGGTTTCTTCCCCTCACCAGTGAAGCAACATTCCATGAATAAATCCTTATTTCCAGATAAACTTATCTAAGATCATATTCTCGGCTATTCCATTTCCTTACACCCATTTACAGGGAGGGCATCAAGCCACCAATACGTTTTCTCGTCATGTGCCCAAAAACACTCCAGTCTAGCTTCTCACTACACACAGCGTGCCTAGAAAAAGAAATGGAATTGAGACATAAAAGAGCATCGGATTAACATTTAGGATGAGAACTCCAGCACTAATGTATATGACACCATCTTTTGTTCAATTGCTCTAAGCAGCGGGTTGTGGGTGCAGGTGTTGGAAGTCAGGGACATTCCCGTTGTGCGATGGGAGCCATGTGAAGCACAACAAAGCTACCAGGGACAACGTTGGACCTCTGTTGTTGAAGAAACAGTGACATCGTTGCTGGCTTTGATGTCCACTCTCCACTCAAAAATGTCTTTGAATAATTCTACGGAGTGTATATTATTTAAGAAATAACATTGAGTCGCAATGCCATATTGAAAGTCTTTGTTTGTGTGTTATCCTGGTTGAAACTTTGTTACAATGTAGTATTGGTTTACAAATGCATCATCTGGTAGAACATAAGATATTTCAGAACAAAATTTTACAAATGCAATTTTACGCTTTGGGTTTGTAGCACATTAGTGACATCAGGGCAGAAAGGGAATATGATCATCCAGGGGGTCCATATCATTTCTCCGGATGAACCTTTGTTTTATTTTTTAAATTTGTAGTTAAAAGAATTGTTTTTTTATGTTTGTTTACCAAAATGTTTTTATTCCCCAACCACACAACGGCTTTGTTTGGGAATAGCGTTTTCAATTAGTGTTAGCGTTTTGGATAAAATATTGACGGTGTAGATTAATTCAAAAAATGTTAACGCTAAAGGCTTTCGACAAATAGCTTTTTTAAAACGTTAACGCTGATGCCAAATAGGGTCGTGTAACAACTCAGTTTATTCCCTAAATAGAATTTTATTAATTTAGTAACTATTCAAATTGTAAAATTACCAAAATGACTTCAAAGTCAAATTTAGTTTTAGTCGTCATCTTCCTTCTTTTTTATAATTTCCAATGGACCTAAAGATTCACCATGTTTTGGCTTGGGGTATGATAGAATAAAGCAAAATGACTCATGGAGTATTAGGGCATGTTTGAAAATAACGTTAGAGATAAGCGTTAGCATTTTGAAAAGGCTATTAACGGACAGCGTTTAGCGTCAGCATTTTTAAAGTAATCTACACCGTTGTAATTTTATCTAAAATACTAACGTTATTTCCAAACATACCCTTTAACTTTCGCGTTTCTTTTAATTGTGAAGTCACAATTACTAAATACTTCATTCGTCCCAAAAAAAATTCGAGTTTGACTTACACAATATTTAAGAAAAGTGAAAATATGTTATTGAAAATAATGTAGAGGGGAGAGAAAAATTTCGAGGGAATCCGAGCTTTTCATTAAAGGAAAGATGAAGCTTTTTTAGAACGTTTCAAAAAGGAAATAATGAGTTTTTTTGGGACGGGGATGTACGACTTTCGACGCTCATTATGTTTCACCGGAAATTCGGAAAACAACACTTCTATGTTTTAAACATAGGCGTTATGCTTAATGCATCTGATCTCCCTTACGGCCTTACCTCTTCATCTCATCTTCCTTCTTCCTCCCCTCCTTTTTGAGTTTTTACACTACCACCACCACTACTTGGGTTTATGAAAATCATGAATCGTTTAAAAATTGTATTATTCTATTGACTATTCTTATAAATATTATTTATTTGTTTAAGATGTATTTTAAAATTGAAACCTTTTAATTTAATAGAAAAAGTCACGGACCCGCATACCCGCAAAACCAAACTGTTTAAAACAAGTCGGGTTAGGGCCAATTCCAAATATTTTTTTCAACAACTCGATCCATCTCGGTCCGTTTCTTCTAATAGGTAGGTTGGACCAAATCTTATAAAAATTGGCTTGATTCGACTCGTGCCCACCCCTAAGATAGATGTCATGTTGGAAAATTATTTTTATTTTTTAAAGTTCATTCAATTTGAATCGAAAATAACAAATTGGATGTGATTATATATTTTAGAAGACCCATATGATACTTGATTTGCTATTGTGATTCTCACATTTTTTTATAAGCTTGTAGTTAGATCTTTTCCTTTCACAAGGCTTGATATATTTATTTATTTTATTTCTCAAGGTCCATACAATAAGTTTCCCCCCTATTCCAAAATAAGGCTTATGTTTGGTTTATAATATTTGAATGGAGTTATTTTTAAATCAATATAAGTAAAAATTGGTGTAGAGTTAATATGCTTCTTCCGTCTCAAAAATTCTTTCTCTTTTTTTTTTCTTGTCCCACAAAGTCATTCTCTTTTTAATTAAAAAACAATTTTATCCCGACTAATTTTTAACATACCTTTCATATCATATTTTTTACTAACAATTTAGTTATCATATCCTAATTTTACTCATCACATCAAGGATATTTTTAGAAAGCCAATACAAATATATTTCTTTCTTAAATTTCATAAAAATCTAAATGAGAACATCTTTATGGGATAAAAGAAGTATTAAAAACTTTTCTTATGTCAAATTTTCTACAAAACAAGTAATAATAAGAATATTTTATTTTATGGAATGATCGATAAAAATATAAAAATATAAATAATACTCCCTCCGTCCCAAAATATTTGTCACACTTGCTTTTTCAGCAGTCGCGGGAACTTTTGTTTATTTCTACGTTTTCATTGATTATTTGATAAAATAAAATATTCTTGATATCTCTTATTTCGAAGAACTTTTCATGTAGTTTTTTGATATGCAATTTTTTTTTATTTCTATATTAATATGTAAATAAAATGAATTGAAAAAACTTATTCCGTAATATTTTGCCTCGATGATACAAGTGTGATAAATATTTAGGGACGGAAGGAATAACTAAGACTTTTTTTAGAAATCATCTTAAATAGGACTAAAACATAGAGAAAAGTACTAAAATATGACTTTTATGTTTTTCCCCGGAATAAGACTTTGCACTATGGTAATGTGACTTTGCATTGTGATAATGTGGCAGTGTACATGTGCAAATTACTATACTTTTTTGGTAATGTATATGACAATGTTTGATAATGTAAATTTAATTTCGATAATAAAAACAAAAATTTTATTTTGATACATCTTCAATCGGATGGAAGTAATAGTACCTCACTCCAAAACATAATTGGCGGCGCGACTGGCTTGTACCGAAAGACTCCCTCTGGTTCAGAGCTGCCGATTTCCGATTTGTGCTATTTTTGTTTTTCCCGCAAATTTCCGGCCTCAGTTTTGCTCTCAATCTACAATTCCCGTTCACGAAATCACTGCCTCTGAATCCGATTTTCTCATTCGGTCACAGTACCATGGGATGGTACAGAAGATCAAGATTCGTCCTCGATGCGGTTCTCTCATCGGCGGAAAGGATTTCATCCAAAAACCAAGTGTCTGAATCCATCTCCAGAACCAAATTCGGATCCGGGTCATCCCTTTTCGTCTCTCCCGTTTCGAGGAACCCAATTTCTCAATCCCTTTTTCACCCGAATCACTACAAACCCCAATTTCTTTCTCAGCCCAGGAGATGGTACTACGTCGATCGGCGCCAGGTCCGGCATTTCCGGCCCCGGGGACCGGACAAGTGGTTCCAGAATCCGAGGAACCTGTTCATAGTCTTGGCGGTGGGGTCCGGAGTCGTGATCTCCGTTTACATTGGGAACTTGGAGACGATACCGTACACAAAGCGCACCCATTTCGTGCTCTTATCTAGAACTCTTGAGAAGGAGCTGGGAGAGAAGCAGTTCAAAGAGCTTAAGGCGAGTTTCAAAGACAAAATTCTCCCTGCAATCCACCCGGAGAGCGTGAGGGTACAATTGATAGCCAATGATGTAATTGGGGCTTTACAGAGAGGGTTGAGAAAAGAACAGGGTTGGGGTGATCTTCGCTACACGTCAATGGTGGGTGTGGAGGGGAGTCATGTAACTGCCAAGGAGCAGCAGCAGCAGAAATTAATGGCTCCTTCTTCTTCCTCTTCTTCGTCTTCTTCTTCGAGTGATAAATGGGAGGACGAGGTGCTAGATGATAAATGGATTGAGAAGAGTAGGAAGGAGGGGAAGGAGAATGGTAAAGAAGCTTACACTGGGCATTTGGAGGGATTGAATTGGGAGGTTTTGGTGGTTAATGACCCTATGGTTAATGCTTTCTGTTTGCCCGGCGGAAAGATTGTCGTCTTCACTGGTTTGTTCAAACATTTCAAGTCTGATGCTGAGCTTGCTGCCATCATTGGCCATGAGGTATCATTCTTAAGTTATATACACTGCTATCTCTTTAGTTCTTTGTTTCTATGCTGGTCCTTACCAACATTTTATTGGTCTCAATTGTATTTTGGATGGTTATTAAAGAAACAAATGATATCGTTTTATTTTCCAATTTATCGATAAAAATGCGGTCTTTTTTCGCAAGAAAGTTGTGTAAACAAATTAACATGTCAAATAAATAGCATAATTTGAGGAAAAAATATACATTCAATGGAATTGAGAAAAATGAAAGTTGACATATCTGAGATTCAAGCTGAACTAAGAAAGGTAGACTTATAGAATGGGACAAATGAGTAATTCATATGGTAATTATTCTTATTCAGATACTATATGACACGATCACACGCAGAGTGAAACATATATTTGCCTCGAAGTTCAATTCAAAGTTTGGGTGCACTTTTATTAAGAGTAAAGTCAAGTTCTCTTTAAAAATTACTCAAACAAGAAAGAAAAATATGTTAGTCACAATTGTTTGTGAAGTTAATGTGTGACAACTAGAAAAAGCAAAATAATGAACATTATATTAGGACATAAGGATTATAAAATAAGGCTTGAATAGGTTTATTCATCTTTTTTTTTGTTTTCATGTTCGGTCCAGTAATTTTATATTGTTATTTACATTTTTTTTCCTTTGTCAATCTGTAACTCATTCAAAAAAAACCGGACATGCTCATCGAACTCTGGTTTAGTATTGAAACTAGTTGTAATTGTTGAATAGGTTGGGCATGCGGTGGCTAGGCATTCTGCTGAAGAAATATCAAAACGCCTGTGGATTGCCATAATACAGTTGGTTCTCTACCAGTTTGTGGTGCCCGATGTGGTTAACACTATGTCTACTCTTTTCTTAAACCTTCCCTTCACAAGAAGGTACATGCACCACCATTCTCTTTGTTCTTCATCCTCCTCTCATTGATTCTCAAGGGGATAAATAACACGTGACCCTCCTCTTGTATCAGGATGGAGATGGAAGCAGACTATATAGGACTCCTACTAATGGCATCGGCTGGATATGACCCAAGGGAAGCCCCAAAGGTATATGAGAAGTTGGGGAAAATTGGAGGCCAATCGGCTCTGCAGGACTACTTGTCCACGCATCCGTCTGGTAAGAAGAGAGCTCAGTTGCTGTCTAGGGCTGAGGTCATGGAAGAAGCTCTCAGTATTTATCGCGACGTTCAGGCAGGAAGAGGCGTGGAGGGATTCCTTTAGTTGCATACATGCATTGTTTACACCAACAATGGGATCTGAGTTTTTGTTCCCAAAGTCAAAGTAAGTCAACTCTATGAAACTCTTTATGTTCCCACTCTTGTCACAGACATGCACAGAGAACAATGTCAGTGTGTGAGAGAAGGTGAGTTGAGAGTTAGGATCACACTTGGGATTTCCTAACCATGATCCAACATAGTTTTTTTTTAATGATGTTTGGTGTGTGGGAATTGGGAGTTTGGAGGTCAGTGTTGTTGATAAGGGGAATTCATGAAAACAATAAAACCCTTTGCTTGGTGAAAAATTTGCCTTGTGGGAATTGGGGAGTTTGGGGATTGGAGTGTGAAGTGTTTGATGGGTTTCATGAAAACAATAAAAAATGCCACTCCATTTGTTTCATAATTTTGTGTCTATTTCCCATATTTTTGTGTCATTTTACATGATCCACTGTAGTTTTCTCATTCCATTGTCATATTTGCATGGTCCAAAATCACCCTCATCTATGTTCCATACTTTACATATAAGTAGTTATCAACTACATACCTAATCCCACATGTCCCAAAACTTGATGGGATCAATTCAATTAGCCATAAGATAAAATACTAGACTTTGGTGAATGACATGAGATTATACTTCTCAACCCACTCTCTTATAGTACCATTTGTTTTTACCAGACATGGTAATTAACTTCCAAATAGTTTACACATAATTCAAATATTTACAAGTCCAGCATTAATATTGGCAATCTCTTTCTCAAACAAACAAACAAACAAACAAACAAATGAGATCTATGAGAAGAAGCCTTGAGCATTGGCAGCAGCTCCCATTCCATATGGGTTTGCAGCAAAGATGGATTGCACAAAGTCGTCATCTACGTTGTCGCGCTGTTCGACCAAAGAGTGATTAACTTAAGGCCAAATCATTAGTTGGATTTAGAAAATATAATCCTCTAATTCAATCCAAGATAGGAGTAATAAATAATTATGCTAATAATAATAATAATAATAATGGATGGGGGATTGATTAAGAAGAAGATTAATTAGATGAGGGAGATGTTAAATGCCTGGTGGGATGTTTTTGAGTAGTAGTGCTGGTGGCTGAAATTCTGGTGAGATGTTTGGAGGAGGAGTTGCCTGCTTTCATACCTCTCTCCTTCCATTATTGCTTCTTCCTGAATAATGATGATTATATCAACATTCAATCATTTTATCCTTAGAATAAAGGGAGTATTTTATTTCCTCTCCATTACTTCCAAGGGAGAGAAAATATATACTATATTTTTCTCCTTGGATTTTTCACTCTTTATATATTCTCTCTTTTTTTCCTAAAGCTTTATCCAAAGAGGGGTCAGTATAATGAAAAAATATAATGTTCTATTTTTTGTCCGAGTGTATTTGTTTAGTTAGACTTTTTTGAGTCAAACTGGACAACTTTGAGTTTCGATTATTCTTAATTTGTATGACATAATAGTATAATGAAATACATTTTGAAAGTTATTGATAAGATAATTATTTTTATGCTAAAATACATTACGATGTTTATTTAATTGAAATTCAAAGTTGATAGTGCTTGGCTCTAAAAAGTCAATGGACAAATACATTGGCACAAATTGAGTATGGATGAACACACCTGAAGAAAAGGCTGAGTGAGCCATTGAGAATAGTCATACCAGTGATCAAACCCAACACCCTCACCAGGAGGATTATTATACTTCTCCATCAACAATGCTTCTTCATTCCCAACTTGCTGCATGCATCATTTTCAGATGAGTAACAATTACTTCCTCCGTCCCAGAAAACATAGGAGTTTTGATTTTGAAAACATGAGAGTGTATTTTTGTATTGAATTTCCAAAAATGTCTTTTGATGTGGTGGGTAAAAGTATGATTTGATGGATAGATTATTAGTAAAAAGGTATGATGTACTCCCTCCGTCCCAAATTATAATGCCTGTTTACTATTCACAGGGTCAAACTTCATTCACTTTCTTTCTCTATTTTCGTTAGCAATTTGATAAAATAAAATATTATTGTCACTACTAGTTTTGTAGATCTTTTGATGTAGTTTTTTAATATGTAATTTTTATTTTTTAATTCTATACCATTTGTCATATAAAAGGGTTTGAAAATAATTTCAGTCAAACATCGTAAACCGAAACAGGCGTTATAAATTGGGACGGAGGTAGTAATAGGTAGGATATGAAAAAGTAAGGGGTAAAAGTGATTTTTTAATATAAATGAGAAGTGTTTTTTGGGACGGATGAAAAAAGAAAGGAGAAAAGTTTTTAGGGACGGAGGGAGTATTATCCAAGTCCCATAACAAAAGACATAAGTTAAAAAAAAAGATGACATCAATTACGTACTCTCTCCCTCGCGAACTAATCTTCTAGCTATAACGATTTTTCGATAAATTATGTTTATATACATATTCTCATTGATTATTTGATAAAATCAAATATTCTTGTCCTCTCTTATTTTATAAACTTTTGACGTATAATTCAATATAAATTACGGAGTATATGGTATATTAATTAGATAAAAAATATTGCATGTACAATTATTTTACAAGATGAATCTAATCATAAAGTTTTACTATCTTCGTTAAAGTGTATTAATCCATTTGGACTTAATAAAACAAGGCGAACTTTAATTCTTTCCAATTTCATATAATAAAATGAAAATTTAAAATTTCTCAATAAAATAAAATTAATTTTAAAATAATGTGTATTACGGAGTAGTACTTTTTTTTTTAAAACACAAAATTCATCTAATAGATCACGTCAAATCAGAAGAAAAAATGATACCTGATCGTTATTGGGATAGTATAGATTAAATTGATAGCCTCCTGAACTATTATCAGCCGCCGCCATGTTCTGCATGGAGAACTCGCAGGTTGGATTATGCGCCGCCGCATAAGTACCATAATTTCCCCCCCAGCCTCCGAAAGCCGCCGTAAAATCCATCGGGAAATCTTGCTGCGGCGAAACCTCCTGCATCATGTCGCTCTCACCAAACTGCGGCACGGAGTACTGCGGCGGCGTTGAATACGAGCACGTCGAGCTGTACCCTTCCCCGTCGCCGACGTCTTCGGATTCTCCGATGAAGTTTAAGACGCCGGAAAGAAGATCATCGTTTTCCGGGAGAACGCTATCATAATAACACCCGGCAGCCGCCATGTTTTGACTCTGCTCCGCGTTTCCCGGAACAACGTTAAAGTTCCCGAGGCATGAAGACGATGATTCGTATTCGCCGGATCCGTTGGGGAAAAACGTCTCCGGCGAAGGGTAATGGGAATTGGCGTTTCCGGCGATGGGGTCTCTGGTCCAGCCCCGGTAGAAGAGTGATTCGTCGTGGCTTGACAGAGGAGGCGCCGCACATGAAGTGTTCCCGGCGGCCGGAGACGGCGAGACGGCGGCGGAGACAGCCTCGAGTTGGGCGTGGGTAAAGAGCTGTTCGAGCTTGGCGAATCTGCTGACCCTTTTGGGGGCAAATCTTGGCTGGTAGCCGGCGCCGGACAACAAGCCGTTTTGGAGTTCTTGAATGTTCCGCCGGAGGAATTGCCGGTATTTCTGCACATTTTACGCATCAAAACCTTGGGTGACTAGTAATACTAGTATCACAAACAAAACATTTACAAAATCACAAACTTATCTAAAGTAATGATTTCAAATAATAGTCTCAAATAATTTAAAAATAAAAATTTAAATATACAAATGTAAAAATTATAGGGAGTATGTACATTTGTTAGTATTTTATTTGTGACTTAATTAATTATTAACATTCACCATAATATGACACATTGACATTTGACAGTAGTAAATTTAAGCATCCTACACATTTACATATAAATATTTTCAGAATTCAAAAAAAAAATGAATATGAATACAAATGTATATGTATTTGATTTGGAATGTTAACAAATATATTCAAATTTAAGTATCCTATAAAAATTTATACCTAATATACATACTTCATGATAAATAAGAGCATAATATATATAGAGAGAGTACTCCTTAATAAATACTCCCTCCGTCCCAGAAAATCTTTCTCCTTTCTTTTTTCATCCGTCCCAAAAAACACTTCTCATTTCTATTAAAAAGTCACTTTTACCCCTTACTTTTTCATACCCTACATATCACATCATACCTTTTTACTAATAATTTATCCATTAAATTATACTTTTACCCATCACATCAAATGACATTTCTGAAAATTCAATACTAAAATACACTTCTCTTAAATCCCCCTTAAAAATCAAAACTCCCATGTTTTCCGGGACGGGGGAGTATATAGAACATAATGTAGTGGGGCAATGTTTGCATGTACACACATCTTCTCCAGGCCATTCTCTTGTGGGATCTAACAGGGCTATTGTTGTTAATTTGGACATTCCATTTTTAGTACAAAACACTCCCTCTGTTAACTAAAACACTTCTTCTTCTTTTTTCCCACCAAAACTATTCTATTTTCTATTTAAAAACCACTTTTATCTCTACTAATTAATTTATATCCTACCTAATACATCATACTTTTCACTATTAACCTATCTATCACATCTTACTTTACTCATCACATTAAATGCAAAATTTGAAATTGAACTACAAATATACACTTCATATTTCTCTCATTGGTCAAAATAAGAACGATTTTGGTGAACAGATGAAGTATATGATTAATGTGTGAGCTAATAATTTTTGAAGCTATAAAACTTTAAAAAAATTCAATATTTGTATTTTATAACAGAATACAAATACGAACCACACATTTGAATTTAATATCAAATCGAATACGAACAACAATAATTATTCAAATAGAAAACGAGCATGAATACAAATAATGATACGGAGTATTATTTTTCAAATACAAATAAAATTTCATAATATTCGAGTATTCCATTGTTTGTTTTAGAACCCTATTCAGAACCACACTAATATGCAGGGGTGAGAATGGAAGAGAAGAAAAGGTAGGTATGGTACCTGCAAGTGACTAGCCACATTCTCCCTTGTCAATCCTTTCACATTCATGGCCTTCAATATATTCTTCGGCACAGCATCTGCACTTGCAACTACTATACGTTACTAAATCTCAATTGACTTTTTCCTCTTCAAGATTTTAAAATTAGTTTTAATCCCTAAATATATATAAAAAAAAATAGTACCTCCGTTCTTAAATTAATTAAACTTTACCCAAAAGAAAGTAAATTCTACTCCCTCCGTTCCAAAAAAAAGTTACGTTTCATTTTTTACGCATCCCATAAAACACTTCTATATTGTCTCGAATGCCAAAAAAAATTCAAAATGACTCCTACGAGTAAATGTGGTAATTTTTAGGTATTTTAAATGTGGGTAGACGTGTTTTTTGGGATGCGCAAAAAATGAAATATAACTTTTTTTATGGGACGGAGGGGGTAAGTTTTTTCTTAATTCATTTTAGTTATAGATAAACATACATCCACAGTTCTACAAAATAAGAAATGGCAAACGTGTTTTATTTCATCAAATAATTAATGAAAACACACGAATTAACAAAAGTTCACTTGATTTTTAAATAGTGAAGAGTGTAAATCTTTGTGGGATGGAGGGAGTACATCCTTCATAGTTCATCCCAAAAGCAAAACTTTGTACTCCCTCCGTTTGCAAAAAAGGTTCCTACTTTGACTTGGAACCAAAATAAGGAAGTGTTAAATTATAGTTGACTTCCAATTTTTCTCCTGATGTGATGGATAGATTATTAGAGAAAAAGTATGATGTGATAGGTAGGGTATGAAAAAGTAATTGTAAAAGTAGTTTTTTAATACTCCCTCCGTCTCATGAAACCTTTCTCCTTTCTTTTTTTATCCGTCCCACAAAACACTTCTCATTTCTATTAAAAAGTCACTTTTACCCCTTACTTTTTCATACCCTAACTATCACATCATACCTTTTTACTAATAATCTATCCATCAAATAATACTTTTACTCATCACATCAAAGGACATTTTTGGAAATTCAATACCAAAATACACTCCACTTAAATCCCTCCCTAAAAGCAAAAGTCCCATGTTTCATGGGACGGAGGGAGTAGAAAGTAGAAGTGTTTTGTTGGAAGTGAAAAAAATGAAAGAAGAAGTGTTTTTGAGAACGGAGAGAGTATTTTTTAAAACCAATAATCTTTTTAAAACAAAAGATTATTACAAGAATATTTTATTTTATCAAATAATTAATGAAAATACATTAAAAAATAAAAATTATCAAGAGGTAAGTGTAAAAAAATTATAATCACTTTTGGAATGGAAAAGTATTAATCCATTCGACTTTTTCTGGTCAAACAGTGAAACTCTTTGACCATAAACTATGCATAATATAAATAAATAAATGATATAAAAATTTGATAGATCAAAACTATAACTTAAAATGAACCCAATTTTATTAAATTTATATTATAATTAAATATTTTTTTCACAATTTATGGTCAAAATGTATCCCTGTTTGACCAAAGAAGTCAAACCAGGAAAGATTTTTAGTATCAGAGGAGTGTACATGAACCCATTCACCCGTGCTCTGAGGAGAACAAGAAGCTGGCGTCGAGAGCCCGAGACACACACCGCCTCTTTGGTAGAGTGATATGCAAATTGAAAATTTAAAAACTCACCACAAAACCCAACAAGAGTTTTAGAACCATAATGGAAGAGCTACTTCATCTTCCTTCCCTACTTTCTCTTCTTATTCCACTGCTTTCTCTCCCCTTATCTTCTTCTTCTTTGTCTTTTGTTCTCTGGTGGCTCATTGTGGGTGGTGGGGTTTGGGTCTGGAGATTGGGTTTGGTTGGTGCCTTGGTTTGTGTTGGAAAATCGATGTGTCTCGACCTCTTTCCTAGATTCATCAAACCAGACTCGTGTACACCCACACACACACTCAATAATACAAAGGCACGATTTCAGAAAATAACTTTGTGTTATATAGTGAAAGGTACAAGAGAGATTACAATTACACAAGTGGCACACTTTACTCTTTGTACTAGAAACCTTCTCTACACCTTAATCACAAGCACTCTCAAAAAGCCTTCTTGGTTCTTTACTCTCTTTGAGTCTCCAAATGAGACATTCACACCCCTATTTATACACATCACCAAGGCAAGGTTTCTCTAGAATACTCCACACATCTCTATATTTATAGAATTTTCTATAAAATCCTCACAAGCTTCTATAATGTTCTAAAAGAATCTATAGGACTCCACTTCCTTCTAGAATATTCTAGAAAAATTTACATTCTTCCACACTTCTAATAGAAGCTCTAGAACATTCAAGAAAGTTCTATACTCTTCCTAATTTTAGAAACTTCTACAGTTCTCTATAAAGTTCCACAACATTCTAGAAAATTTTACATATTTCCACTAATTTCTAAAATTTTATAGAATCTTCCCTCTCACAATCCTTTGGAAATATTAAATTAATATCCTAACAGTTTGATCTCTATTATGGATCCTAGCGTGTGTGCCTCAACCACTATGACTTTGCTTTGACCTGGGTACGTGTGTGCCTTAGAGTGCTAGGCGTGATTTCTACGTTAGTTTTTTATTCCGGTCCCAATGGCATGGTTTTGGTTCTTGTCAACATTGACCTTTACGAAATAGGGTATGAAATTTTATTTATGATGAATAAAGTTATTTGAAAAGTTTTAAATTATACGAATACCAAACAATCAGTGGGTCCCTCGTTGATTGCGATTAGTTCTTTTTCGCTTTCAACCCAAAGAAATAGGGTGCTAGCTCATCCCGCCATACCTTAGCATTGCGAACACCGTACCCCAAATCGTCCATAGAATGTGCAGTGCAAAGCCTAAGTCGTGACGACAAACGTTCTCGCTTTATTTTATACTAGTATCATATCCTAAAATTAATTTTCTAGTTTTTAACATTATTTTTGTGAAAGGGATATGGCCTATGGGCTAAATATATTATATGTACCTTCTTCTATATAAAATTAAATTACTCCCTCCGTTCCTTTAAACCCTTCCACTTTTGACTTTGTGAAAAAATAAGGAAAGTGTAATTTTGGTTGAGTTTCTAATTTTGCCCCTGATGTGATGGGTAAAAGTAAGATGTGATAGTTTGGTTATTAGAGAAAAAGTATGATGTGATAGGTAGGGTATGAAAAAGTAAGGGTAAAAGTGGTTTTTTTAATAGAAAGTGGAAGTATTTTAGGGAATTCTAAAAAAACGAAAGGAGAAGGGTTTTGTGGAATGGAGGGAGTATACTCGAGTATATACATTTGTTAACATTACTTTTAAAATTTTGTAAATTTAAGGGATAAACTTTATTAATTATTGTGTAGCACCAATTATTCAGGGAGGATATGATTGTGTCACGTACTCTCAATGCCAAGAGTATTGACGGCATCCAAGAACTTGAAGTGGAGTGGGTCCGTCCACACCATCTTCTTCTTCATCGCCACCCCAGATTCAGAACCGCCACCACGACCGCCAGCTGCCGTCCGTCCATATTGTCCCTGCGGACATCCTGGCGGGACGGCGGCTGCAGGTGGAGAGCTGATGATCTCCACTGGCACCTCCATAGTACTACACCCCATTTCGCCCTTCCTTTGGGAGGTTAGGAACCTCCAGAGACACGTTAGGGCGTTTGCAGACACGGGTTTCTCGATGAACGAAATAGCTCCGTTCTGCATCCCCTGCCTCACGACGCCCTCGTGGTTGTCCCCCGACATCACTGCAGATGAAAATACATATACCCTTAAGATTAGGTATATCATTAGGTAAATGCATTATTCACAAGTCAATGGAGTTATTTTGGTGTATGTAATAAGTTCCATTGACTCAAACTAATCTCTTTATAACCAGAAAATGCGGACCATAGTCTTTTATATAGGAGTATGAAATTAATTATCTACTACCTAATTAAAATCCTAAGTTAGCAGGTTAGTAATTGACACAAAAATTAATACATAGGGTTATTAATTACCCTCCCGTCAACTAACTTTATAACTCAAAAATGTAGTAGATAAATTTTATTAGAATTATAACTTGGTTTATATGTTCTAGTTTTTTTTTAAAAAAAAGAGAGAAGAAATGGAATATATATATATAAATATGAAAGTGTGGCGTCACGTACAAACAACGGGAAGGAGGTTGAATTCATTGGAGATGATCATTTGCAACTCGAAGCCATTGATGTCGGGCATGTGGACGTCCGAAATGACCAGATCGAATCCAAACCCGCCCTTCGCTCGTAGGGTACCCAATGCATCCTGTGGGCTTTTTGCTGTCTCAACTGCATGTAAATGTATTTAAATACTACTAAAACATACTCCTTCCGTCCTTTTAAACATGAGATGTTTTGATTTTGAAGATATTTAAAATGAGTGTATTTTGGTATTGAATCTTCAAAAATGTTCTTTGATGTAATGGCTAGATGTAAAAGTTAATGGATAAATTGTTAGTAAAAATGTATGATGTGATAGATCGATAGGGTATGAAAAAGTAAGGATAAAAGTGGTTTTTTAATAGAAAGTAAAAGTGTTTTAGGGAATTTAAAAAAAATGAAAGGGGAATGTTTTTATGGAACGAAGGGAGTAGTAGTTTTCTCAATGTAATATTGTACTCCCTCCGTCCCAAAAAAATTTACACCTTTCAAAAAAATTGCGTCCCTCAATCTCCTACCCATTTCTATTAAAAAACCACTTTTACCCCTTACTTTTTCAACCCCTACATATCACATAATACCTTTTTCCTAATAATCTACACATCACATCTTACTTTTACCCATCACATCAAGGGTATTTTTGGAAAGTCAACACAAAATTATCCCTACCTTAATTTCAACTTTAATCAAAACGTGTAAATCTTTTTGGGACGAAAGTAGTATCTCTTTATTTCCTAATGTGGTATCGCTGTTCAATGTCCATTGGTAATTGTTCAAATAAATGTACACCCCCAGTGACATTGTTCCTGCCACTAAACATTATTCAAATACGGAGTACTATTTAAATAATAAAAAAGTTTTAGTAATATTTTAATTCGTGCAAATTTCACTATATTTATTTTCAATTTACAAAATTAAATACTCCCTCCATAATCGTATTTGCTCGATCGGCTTATATCTTACGGAGTATTTTGTAAAAAAAAATATTTAGTCCTTAACTTTAACTATTTATTTTAACTTTAGAGTTAATGTAGAATTTGCTTTAGTCCCTAGAAAATTAGCAATTTTGTTTTTGGTCCTTTAAACCCTGATAGATATATCATCTCTAACTTTGTAGGAGGACCATTTTCAAAAACAAATACTCCGTATTTTATAGGGATGATTTGCTAAAAAAATATTTTAGATGGACTAAAAATAAAAACCACTCATTTCACAGGGATTAAAAATATATTTACCTCATTTTTATACATGACTTATTTTTTAAAATTTCATATCAACAGTTTCCAAATAATTTTAGTTAAATACAATTAAATTTAATCATATATTATGCCTAGTAAAAGCTTGTTCTCTTCAATGTATCTGATTGGTTCCGATCTGGTTCAATTTAGTTATAATCTAGTTGTAATTAATTATATTTAAAGATAATTATGGTCTGATTTGATTGATCCGTGTTCAATAAAAACAAATAATGAAAAGAAAAAGATGAAATTGAAGAAAACAAGAAATAACTCAGGTTGAATTAGGGTTTGCGAGTTAGGGATAGGCATAGGTCGTACCTTGAAAGTGGAGTTTCCTAAGCATGGCACCAACAATGACCAGACAGGTAGAATCGTCATCCACAAGAAGCACCTTTAAGCACCTCCCCATTATATATTACTCTAATAATAATAATCTCTCTCTTTTTCTATTTTATAGAATTACTCCCTAATTAATTAATTTGAATAATATAACCCCACCCTACACTACTACATCTTCATTCTAAAAAACATGTAAGACTACATTATACGAGTGAGTATATATATAGATGCCCCACGCAAGGGTATATATGTAGGGTAGGTACGTACTCCCTCCGACCCTTAAAAAAGTTCTCATTTTGACTTTTTGAGGATCTAAGGAGAGTGTATTTTGGTGTTGACTTTCAAAAATACCCTTTGATGTGATGGATAAAGTAGGATGAGATGCATAGATTAATAGAGAAAAAGTATGATTTGATAGGTAGGTTAAGAATTAGTAGGGGTAAAAGTGTCTTTTTAAAAGGAAATGAGAAGTGTTTTTTGGGACGGATGAAAAATGAAAGGGGAACTTTTTTGCGGGACGGAGGGAGTATAATACTACTCTCTCTATATATGTGGGGTGTTGTTATTACAATTAAGGGTACTCCATCCGTCCCAAAAAATTCTTCACGTTTCAAAAGAATGGTGTCCCGCAATCTTCTCTCATTTCTATTAAAAAATCACTTTAATTTACCATTTACTTTTTTTATTTCATACCTATCACATCATACGTTTTTCTAAATAATCCATACATCACATCATACTTTTACCATCACATCAAGAATATTTTTGGAAAGTCAACATAAAATTATTCCTCTCTTATTTTGTCACTTTAGCCAAATGTCACTCTCTTTCTGGGACGGAGGGAGTATTATATACTCCCTCTGTTCCATAAGACGGAGGGAGTATATAATATCCTTAATTTTTATAAAAATTTGATATATCAGTGACATTTTTTACCATAAATTAAACATAATCTAAATAAAGAAATATTATAAAAATTTGATATATCAAAACTATATCATAAAATGAATCTAATTATATTAAATTTATATTATAATTCAATATATTTTTTTCACAATTTATAGTCAAAACGACTTATCACTAATTGACTGAAAAAAATCAAAATAAGAAGTGTTTTCTGAGACGGAAGGAGTACAATAGGGAGTACTACGTATATACGTATACGTTAAAATAATGGGGCATGGATTAGGTTTAGGCCTTGAGGTGCAAAATACGTTTGCATATTTTAATTTTTTCGTTTCCTTTTTCTATATTTTCATTTATTTTCCTGATTTTCTTTTTGAACTTTCCAAAAAAATATTTCAAAAACAAAAAGTGAAAATGTTTAATTTGAGATAGATGTAGCTTATGTTAATTTTTTTATTTCAAACACAGAATTTTTAATTTTTTAAAATGTTATAAAAATTGAAAAGAAATTTTAATAAAAATTGTAGGAAAAAGAAACAAAGAGATAAAAAAGTAAAATAGGAGGGACCCAAATAATAAACGAAAAATAAGAAATAAGCACGAGTGCCCCATATGATTTAAAAATTAGGTGCCAATGGCCCCTCTTTGTCGGAAAATGGCCCTAAAATGTTAGATGGAGTATGGATGCAACATTTTAAAACCATGAGGACCTTAAAAATAACTTTTCAAAACAAAAAAAATATTAGTGCTAATTTTTCAAACCATAGGGATTTGGAGTTAATTTGCTTTTGTCTACACTGTTTTGAGTGACGTTCTCATATAAAATCTTTAGGTAACGAAGATGAATTGATCATTAAATTGAAGAAAGCAATGTGCTTAATAACGATTTATTGTGTTTAAATATTGCACACTAAAAAAAATAAAAATATTCACACAAAAAAATTCTAATTAACTACGGAGTATATACTCCCTCCGTCCCTAAATAAACTTCCGTTTTTGACTTTTTGAGGATTTAAGAAAGGAATATTTTTGTGTTGACTTTCCAAAAATACCATTGATATGATGTGTAAAAGTAAGATGTGATATGTAGATTATTAGTAAAAAGGTATGATGTGATAAGTAGGGTATGAAAAAGTAAGGGGTAAAAGAGGTTTTTTAAGGGAAAAGAGAAATTTATTTGGGGACAAAGAAAAAACAAAAGAAAAAGTTTATTTAGGGTCGGAGGAGTATAAAATACTCCGTAAAAAAGTACTTTGTATAAAGATTGTTTAATTTCACCAACGTGCAACTTAGCATTTGAATAAAATCATGTACCGGAATTAACACCTCCTCGTAAAGCACTTTCTCCTTAAAGATTTATTACGAATTCATTACACACTTAAAATGGAAAGTATTGGAAAAAGTAAGAAAAATAATAAATATTTAAAGTTCATTTTAGATCGAGGGAGTTTTTTCTCTATTCCAAAGTATTTATTCAGTTTTAAGTTTTTACAATTAATTAACTAAGATCGACAGCAGACGGCAGACCTATAATTAAATAAAAATTATATGGTATAATAATTTGATAAAAACATATTTTGAAGTTATTTTACAACGTAAGTCTAATAATATTATTTTTATATCAATACCAACCTTATATGAATTTTATTTTAAGTAATGATCAAAATTTATCAATTTTGACTACTAAAAAGCAAACTAGACAGATACTATAAGAAGATTTTGACATATCAAATTTGAATACTATTTGTACATTTAAAAGTGTACTCCATGTATTTTAAATATGGTGACAGAAAATACAAAAGTTAAACTAGTACGATATTTCTTTTTTTTTCGTTAAGTTTAGTTTGTTAAGTAAATAATTCCATTTAAAGACAGCTTTAACGTCCATGAATCAATGGAAACCACTTAATTACCAGACACCATCACATTATTTCTCCCACACAAAAACACAACACGTTATTGTACACACGTACACGCACCAGTAGATTGTAAATATTTTTTTTCATTATAAATACTTAATACCTAAATTAACGAATTAATTACCGAAGTAATTAATTATCTAACTCATTAACTACAAATGGATTCTATTTGATTTTACCCATATGTTTTATAAGTATTTTGTTTACGTACAAATATAGGGGAGACAAGAGTCAAAGATCGACATTTATGTTGTTTGATCCGCTAATTAGATCAACGACCCGCTTGCATTGCATGCATGCATTCCAATGATATATAAAATGAAATATTTTCCTTAATAATGATATATCAGTCCCGAAATATTTGTTTTTTTTTTTCAATTTTTTCAGTCAAAGTTGATAAGTTTTGATAATTAAATATCGAGTTAACAAAATTTAAGTTATACTCCAGTATTTCGTATTGATAAAAAATATTTTATTCAATTTATTTTGTAAAATATTTTTTAAAAATATTATTTTATATGACTAATATATACTCGTAACATGTAATATTTATAATTTAATTATAAGTCAAAAACTGATCTTTATTGATGATAAAAACTTGAAACTACATAAAAACTCAAGAACACATGCAGCAATAATAATGTACACAGTAACTTAAAATAAAAGAAGATTGAATAAAATAGAAGATCGATCGAGATCTGCAAATATATATATTTTTAATGAACTTTTTGGACTGTTACGTTGAAAATCATGCAAGTAAAGGATTCTGGCGGTTAAAGTTCATGAGCTCCTTTAATTTAATACTACCTCCGTTTCTCAAAAGAGTTCATCTTTTGACTTTGGGGGAAAATAAGGAAGTGTTAAATTGTAGTTGACTTTCCAGTTTTGTCCTTGATGTGATGGGTAAAAGTAAGATGTGATAGTTTAGTTGTTAGTGAAAAAGTATGATGTGATAGGTAGGGTATGAAAAAGTAGGGGTAAAAGTAGTTTTTTAATAGAAAGGGGACGTGTTTTAAGAAAAACAAAAAAAATGAAAGAGGAAGGGTTTTAAGAAACGGAGGGAGTAAAAGAAAAAGGCACCCTTTACATATATATAAGTCTTCGGGTATCCGTCCGGACAATAGTTAGGAAAAAATGTTTGGTAGGGTGAGCAAAAAAACCAAATTATGATGTTATTATACTGGGCCGTAATGTTATTGAATTGTTTATATAGTATTTTCAAACATGATTGATTTTTTTCATCACGAATCAAAACCAAATTGGTAACAAATGGGACGGGTCCGTGATACAAATATTTAAAATTGATTATCGCAAATCGAACTGTCTAAAGATATATATGGAGTACCGAGTACGTATCTCAAATTAAATAATTATGAAGTATTTGTCTACTTCATCTTACCATGTATAAAGTTCTTCGTATGAGTATTTTATTACTTATTTTTTAATTCTTCCATTATTATTGTTGTTATTATATTTATTACTACAATACTATTGACATTACTTTTTATAGTTATTAATAGTCCGATATTATATGAATCGGGAAAAAAAATATAAATTTTGGACTTGTTACCTTTTATTCTTTATGTTTATGATTCGTTTAAATTCAAAATCAATACTTCTATTTAACAAAATTGTGCTTTTTATATAAATTTATACATTAAATTCAATATTTTTTGAGTAATGTACGGTCAGTTTTTTTACACGGTTTGAACATTGGTATGGTATTGTATCATTCGTTTCAAAACAGAATTGTATCAAATTGTTTTGGGGTTCATCCCGTACTGATACCGAACCGTTTAAATAAGAACGATCCATGATAGATTCCGGTAGTATCAAGGACCGCGCCCACCCCTATGAATGTTTGGTTCACAATCTCACATCAATTTTAACATACTCTTCTACACAAATTCAAACCATGCGATATTAACCTTTCATAAACGTAGTGTAAACATAATGTCAAAAATTTTATTAATATATGGATGGAGGAAATATGTATTTGAAAATTATATTAAAGTTTTTACAAAAAAAGAGGTGACATAATTATATTATTTTGCTAAATAATTAATGAAAAAAATAAATAAAAATTATCTTTTTTTTTGAAATCCAAATAAAAAATATCTTGAATTAGAATTAGTAATTGCAACTTTCTCATAACAAAATATACTTTCCTTTATGTCCCATAAAAAACTTCTCACTTTTTTTTAAATGTCCCAAAAATTACTCCCACTTTAATTTTTTTCTTTATGAGGGAGGTGATCATGTGACTTTAAAAGTATATCTCTCATAGAGGGAGTATACAAACTTAATCAAATTAATACCCCTGCATTCGTGGAAACATTGAGAATTTTGATTTTTAAGGATTTAAGGTAGAAGGATATATTTTGGTATTGAGTTTTCAAAAATATCTTTGGATATGATGGGTAAAAATGAAATTTGATGGGTAGACTAATAGTGAATATGTGTGATGTGATAGCTATGTTAAAAATTAGTAGGGGTAAAAGTGATTTTTATTAGAAATGAGAAAATGTTTTTTGAGACGAATGAAAAAAAAGGAGAAAGGTTTTTAAGAACGAAAGAATTATTCTTCACTTTTTTGTAGTCCCTTCGTCCACAAATAAACTTCACGTTGCGCGTTACGATGTTTGACCGAATTTATTTTCAAATTATTTTATATGAAAAATGGTGTAAAATTTAAAACTAAAAATTACATGTTAAAAAACTATATCAAAAGACCTATAAAACTAGATATGACATGACTATTATTTTATCAAATGGGGGATGAAAATAGGCTAACAAAGTGAATAAGATCTGACTCTTTGGATAGTGAACGAAAAATTTATTTGTGAACGGATGGAGTACTTTTTTCTCAAATTTATAAAGTTTATCAATGAAGCATTGTAGGTGACTCGGATCATTTTAAAGTCAAAAAGGCCACGGGCGGATCTAGTTTTGTCGTAAGCGGGCCGATGCAATTGCTCCCAATGAAATTTGGGCTGCAATATATTTTTTAATGTTTTTTTTTTTTTCGAAGTGGTAGAAGAGGTGCCCAACGAATTGGTCTAATTTAACCATTGCTCCAGCCCAACCGTAAAGCCCAACCAAACATTTGCCCAAACAAGCTTGGTCCAATTATAATACTCCGTATGTAAGACTCTTTCTGTTTTATTACATTTTTTTAAATTTAATTTTCATTTAAGCTACTTTCAAAAGAATCATTTATGATTATTATATTTATTATGACCAGATTTGCCCCTGGTAAAAAGTATTTCTAAATCCCCCCACTGGAAATTGCTTGGATCAAAAGAACCATCGGGTACATAAATACAAAATAGTTTATTTTATTACACAATGATCTCTCCGTATCAAGATTAATATCATACGGAATAGTTTGTTTTTTTATTAAAAGATTAATATATTACGGACTTGCGAAAGGCTCTGTTCCGTACGTTGAATCTGATCTGAATTTTTGAACTTCTGATCTGATCCGATTGGGTATGATCTGATCTGCTTGAACCTGACCTGATCTGATTGGATCTGATCTGATCTGGTTTGTTCTGATCTGCTCTAATTAGATCTGATTTTATCTAATTCGATCTTGTGTAAATGATTTTAAATTTGATTTAAATTAAACTTAGAACTATTACAAAATGTAATAGTTTTAAAGTATTACACTTCATACATACATAAAAAAAGTAAAATAAGAAAATAAGCTAATCATTGATATATTTAAACTTTTTTTGAAATATTAAACATTTTCTCAACATCACTATTTTTTGATTTTTTACAAATTTCTCGCTACAGTTTTTAAAGTTTTTTTTTTAAAAATAAGTTATTGAAACTAAAAGTAAATTTTAGAAAAAGCCTTAAAAAAGTAAATGAAACTAAAAAAATGTGTTACAAAAAGTAAATTTTAGAAAAAGCCTTAATGAAATCTCAAAGTTTGTTATAAACTCACCCTTGTATATATTATACCACATTAAAGTTTAAAAATAAGTCTTTCTAAGTATAACATATTTATGGTTTTGAAAACTAAGTTTTGTATAATTATTTTATAAACAAGTATTTTAAAACAATTCTTTTTAAAGTATGAAAAATATAACTTTTTAAGCTTTAACATTACTTCCATGCATCATTCCTACAAGCTGAGCAATTATTAAAAATAATGGTTTGTAGTTGCAACATAATAATAATAATAATAACAACATTACAATAATAATAATAATAATAGTTAAAATTATAATATTAATTAAGATTTAGGCGTGTGTAGATTTAAATAAAGTAATGTGATTTATTCAAATAATAGTAATTATTATTTCATCCTTGAAATATATAAATATTTTTTTATATTTTTTCCTGATTTGTTATTCTTGAATTTGATTTAGTCTGATCTGATTGCATCTGGTCTGGTCTGATTGGATCTGGTCTGGTCTGCTTGGATCAGATCAGATCTGATTGAATCTGATCTGATTTTAATAAGAATAGGTAATAAGTAGAAAAAATAAGTCCTACGGAACGGACCTTACTCATTTTATTTTTAAAAAAAATCTCTAGCTCCCTTCTTAAATAAATACAAGATATCTACTAAGGCCTCATTTGGTGGGTTTTGAAAAATTATTGTAATATAGTATATGAGCTTTGGAATCTAAAAAAATAAAATGAGTTTTGAAATTTAAAGTAAAAGTGTTTGGATAAATTTGAAATGTCCTTTTCCAGTGATAGATTGTTAATTATTGACTAGCAACGAAGTATATATATAAACGGCAGCAAGAAGGTGACAATGATGGCAGACAGTGGCGGGAGCCGTCGATGCTTGAGGAGATATCATATGTTTATATTAATGTGTTCCAAATTCGAAAAATGTTAAATCTCTCTGTTTCAGGATTGTTTTGATATTTGAAGATACCAAATCGAAATGTTGGTTAAGTTTCACCAAATATTTTAAAAAAATTGATATCTCAAGATACCAAAGATCATATATCTTTTTCTCACTAAAGACGTCCACGATGATTATATGCCCGAAGTACATTAAGAACTAAATAAACATAAACCTATATTATACAGTATCTAAATTCATTATATTCTTAATGTATGCAAAAACTCATTCTACCCCCTCTCAATATATTTGTATAAATTTTTTTTAGTCAAACTAGATAAACATTTGACCGTCAATTACTCTCAATTCATAGCATATTAGTACAATAAAATAAAAGTTTGAAAGTTTCAACCAGATCAACAAATCTAATGAAAACTTTTTTTATGCTGATATACATTATAGTTTTTTGTTGAATTAATTAAAACTCAAAGTTCATTTTGTTTGATTTGAAAAAATTAAACCGGACAAATAAATTGAGACGAATGAAATATGAAATATTATATTTTAGAAGGAATAGATACGGAATTATGGTGTAAATTAAACATAAGAGTAGAGATTATAAAGATGTTCAATGATAATGAACAAACACCATATTCATGAGCCAGCGGGGGTCCTCTTCTTTGGTACAAACATTTTTCACACTCGGAAGAGAACAGATTTGGGAACACAACATTGCAAAATAATTGAGGCAGAGAATGGCAATTCAATCAAACCACGCAAAACGCAAGCAAAGACGAAATGGAAAACCTACGACAACTTAAACACAATCATAATCAATTGATAAAAGAGAAAAGTGCCGGCCGAGTTCTTCAGAAATTGTACGGTTTATCTCTGAACATTAAACACTGTACGTACCAAATGCCTTTGAAATTTTCAGAAATTGCACGGTTTACCTTGAGCATTAAAAAGTGCACCAAGTACTTCTTGTACTCTTCAGAATATGCACAATTTATCCCTGGACATTTAAATAAGGACGATAATTTTGGAGAATGGTACTTTAGAGAATTTAAAAAGACCTGATGATTCATACTCGCAATTCTCGTGCGTGGTAGCAACACACTCCCCATCTAGCATTTTAGGACAACCGTGCAACGCTCTGAATGTTTCATTAGTATTTGGTATAGATCGTACAATTTTTGAAGAGTTTAAAGATAAACGATGTACTTTTCAATGGGAGAAGAGGATGAGAAAAACATGGCAGCTTGGCTTCTTGGTGTCACAACTCTTCGGATTCAGCCCTACACCCTCCCCCCACTCGGTTTCTTTCTTTAATCTTGCCCTCTCTGTCTTTTTTTTCCTTTCCTCTAAATTAATCTCTCTTCTGCTGCATTTAATCTGCTGATATGAGTGATTAACTACCATTTTTAGGCCCTGCTGATGTCAGAGTTAGAATCAAGGCACTTGGCATCTGTGGCAGTGACGTTCATCACTTTAAGGTTAATGATCCACTCTTTAGTGTAATTTTTTTCTTAATTTGCTCGAATAATATTATGATTGTTGATTGATTAGCATATGAGGTGTGGAAATTTCGTGGTGAAGAAACCTATGGTCATCGGCCACGAGTGCGCCGGAATTGTAGAACAAGTGGGGCGGCGGGTGGAGGGGTTGGCGGTGGGCGATCGGGTGGTGCTGGAGCCCGGGATTAGCTGCCGCCGCTGCCGCCTTTGCAAAGACGGCCGCTATAATCTCTGCCCCAATATGAAGTTCTTTGGTTCTCCTCCCACTAATGGCGCTTTATCTAATCAGGTATTAGTCCTCAATAAATAAATGATCTTTTGGTTCCTTTAATCGATTGATTGATATCCCCTCGCCCCCTTGTAGGTAGTGCATCCTGCGCATTTGTGCTTCAAACTGCCTGATAATGTGAGCTTGGAAGAAGGGGCAATGTGTGAGCCGCTAAGTGTTGGCGTCCACGCGTGCAGGCGAGCCAACATTGGTGCACAAACCCGGGTGCTGATCCTCGGCGCGGGGCCCATCGGCCTTGTCACCATGCTGGCTGCCCGTGCCTTCGGGGCAGCGAGAATCGCTGTGGTTGATGTAGATGACCGCCGCCTCACATTCGCCAAAAATCTAGGCGCAGACGAAACCATTCGAGTCTCACCAGCCATCGCGGTTAATTACTCTTGTTATCCTCTTTATATTGCTTATAATGTCAAAGATGCACTTACATTGAAGTATCCGACATTAGAAAAGTAGAAATAAGAATAACAGATTAAGTTATATTCAATCTTTTATTGTGGTTTAACTTTATGTCCAGTGACGTAGTCGTGGATGACATTTTTTCTTTCAAACTTGTATATATATGAATAAACACCGTTTAAGCCACGCGCAGGACGTGGAGAAAGAAGTGGAGGAAATACGCGAAAAAATGTGTGGCACGATCAATGTGAGCTTCGACTGCGTTGGTTTCGACAAGACAGTGTCAACGGCACTGCAAGCGACGAGCGCGGGTGGGATGGTTTGCCTCATTGGGTTAGGGCAAACCGAGATGGCCGTTCCCATGACTGCTGCATCTGCAAGGTATGTAAGAATATCATTCCAACAAAATACGTTTTTTTTTGAGACGGTTCGTTATACGGAGGGAGGGCTCGTTGTGACATTGGTNTGGATATAGGGAAGTAGAGGTTGCAGGCATATTCAGATACAGGAACACATGGCCATTGTGCATTGAACTCATTGCAAGTGGCAAAATAGATGTGAAGCCTTTGGTCACACACAGGTTTGGGTTTAGTCAAGAGGAGTTGGAGAAAGCCTTTGAGACTAGTGCTGCTGGTGGTCATGCCATCAAGGTCATGTTCCATCTTTAATAGTACTAAATAAATTATTAAGGTGTAATTATAATGATGATGATGCTTATACTTTGTATTTAAAAAAATTGTATCAAAATAAAGTTATTAAAATATTTTATTGAAAAGTTATCCTAAACACATACGCTAATTGAAAATGATGCGGCTAGCTAAGGTGTGATTGGACCGGCAACCCGAGACTAGCTAAGGTGTGGCCAGGTTGCCGAGTTGGGCCATTGCTGAACCCAGAACACCTGGGCCATACTCTCTAAGCCCATCAGATTAGTTATGGCCCAACTTGATGGGCTCATGATCCGAGTCCAATCTATGCACGCACCAAATGTGTTGTGGTATACTCCCTACATCTCAATTTCTTAAAATTTGCGATAGATTTTATGCATAGTAAAAAACAAAACAATAAGTCGCGTGTTTACTTTCTTTTTTAAAAAAATCACTTTGAACTGTCGCCAAAAACTTAATTCAAGGGCAGATATAGTTTCACATTACACATTTTCTCCTTCATTTAGGTTTTGTTCTTTTGGGTTGGAATTTCATGTATTATACTCAAACATACACGGTACAAATACTTGTTAGAGAGGTATATTTGTTTAGTGATGGGTGCAGTGACTGGACAACAATATTTAGGAATCTTATAGGTTTCTCTAAATCTTCTAAGTCCCGAACCATCATAGTTGTCCGAGGTCGAGAAGATGACCTTTCGAGAGGTCTACCTTGAGTTATACACAAAAAAGGTCCACTTGTTGGCGTTGAGTCCAAGCTCCAGACCACAGACGACCTTGGGGCTATGTTTCGACCCGACCCCTTTCGGAGGACAGAGGCCGAGATCATGGAAGCTAAGTTAGCCGTGTGTAGAGGGCGCCTTTACTTTGGTGTAATGTTATGCCTTTGGGACTTATTGGTTAGGCTTGAGTTGTTGATTGGGTATGACCCTCTGATGTTCAAGGTATCCCTTAGCTGTGTGTATAAATATTTTTTGAATTTTCTCTAGATTAAGATATTACAAGTTTTTATTTCACATTTTATAAAAAATTTACAAAAAGAAATTGCAAACTTCTTTCAAATTGTCCGTGCTCAATGTTTACAAAGCAAGACAATGTCATTTCCTGATTTTTTTTCAATCCGTATTTATTTACAAAACGAGAATGGATCATGACAAATAAAATCTATACCGTTCCGATCCATGCCCACTTCTTACGAAAAAATAGGCAGCATATCAATGTAGTAAATTTTATGACACATAAAAAAGGATGAACTCCATTCCCGGTGATCATTTAGAACCGGTCGAGCGTTCAATGATAAGAGTTAAATTAGGTTTTAATCACATATCAATAACAAATGATGAAACATAAATATAATATTTTCATATGCCCTATGTCTAACATTGTTGCATCTCAGTACAGTTGTCAAAAATTGATTTTAGATACTCCCTCCGCCCCTAAATAAATTTTCCCTTTCGTTTTTTGATTGTCTCCAAATAAACTTCTCTTTTTCCTTAAAAAAACTCCTTTTAGTCCTTACTTTTTCATACACTATCTATCACATCATACCTTTTTATTAATAATCTACATATCACATCTTACTTTTACACATCACATTAAGAGTATTTTTGGAAAGTCAACACAAAAATATTCCTCCCTTAAATCCTTAAAAAGTCAAAAAAGAAAGTTTATTTAGGGACGGAGTGAGTATATTTTTTTAAACATATTTTCTCTTGTCAATTATGCAACGCCGATCGGCTTAGGACAAATTAAGTACTAGAAGCGAATGAGATGAATGAAGAAAATGATTTATTATTGTCTAAAGGAAAATATTTGCGTTTAAGATATTGAACAATTAATTGCAACTATGAAGTTAAATTTATAAATTCAAATGACATCACGTTCTCATCCATTTCTCACTTCTCACACCCAACCACTTCTCTCCTTCCATTTACCTTTTTGTCCCCAAAATCTATCAACCAAACAAACAAGCCATAAATGACGAACCAAATGACCACCCACTCCACCCAAAGATTATTTACCAAATTATTTATTTCTCGGTTCAACAAAAAAACCAAACAACAAAAAAAAAACGTGGGACCCGCGAATATCGCGATGACCCCACGATCCCTTGATGGAACGATCCTCAGCCGTCCATTTTCTTCTTCTTCTCCTTCCATACAACGTAGGGTTCGGTGGGTCCCCCACTTTTCCTGTCCCTCCAAGGACTATAAGTGGGCCTCCTTCTAGGGTTCCTCTTTATATCTTTCTTTTTCTTCCAATTGAATTATTTTATCTAATTATAAAAATAAACATAAAGAAAATTCTCCGGATTCTCAGTAGTGAACAGCAGATTTTTCAGGCTGGATTCAGTCAACGATTTTGGAGCGGCGAAGAAGACGAAGCTCCGTTCCAAAACGACGCCGTTGGTGAGTTCTGTTCCCGGTGATTGACCGCTTCTCTGTTTCGAAAATATGGCGTTGATGGATGAAAAACGGGAAGGGAATCTCGATGCTGATGACGAGGAGGTTGACAGCGCGGCAGATCCGCTGCTCGGGAACCCAGATGAGTACACGATTACGGCGGTCGGTCCGTCGCCGGGAAGTGTCGCCGTTGGATCGCCGGATGGTTTCGCGCTGTTGAAGGAGGAGCCGGAGGAGGAGGACTTGAAGGCGGTGGTACCGGTGCAGTTGAAGACATTGGCGATCCCTCCGCCGAAGAGATCCTCCAAGGACCGCCACACGAAGGTGGAGGGCCGCGGGAGGAGAGTTCGCATGCCGGCGGCGTGTGCGGCGAGGATTTTTCAGCTGACCCGGGAGTTGGGCCACAAGTCTGACGGAGAGACCATCAGGTGGCTCCTCGAGCGAGCGGAGCCGGCCATCATCCAGGCCACCGGGACGGGGACGGTGCCGGCCATCGCCGTCTCCGTGAACGGAGAACTGAAGATTCCGACGACGTGCCCGGAGACGGAAAACGACGGGGGTTCCGCGAAGAGGAGAAGAAAGATGGCCCCGAGAAGCGAGTTCTTCGTCGTGAACGAACCTTCCCATTTCGCCCCTGTCTCTCCGATCACTCCACAAGGCCTGGTTCCCGTGTGGACAGTCAGTTCCGGAAACGGCGTTATGCCCGGCGCGGCGGTCCCGAGCGGCGCATTCCTGATGCTCCCACAGACGCCGTCACCCGCCGGACCTTTGAACCAGCCCCAGCTGTGGGCCATACCGGCGACGGCGACCCCTCTCTACAGCGTCCCCGGCAGGACAGTTCCTAATTTCGCCACCTCAATGCAACCCGGAGTTAGTTTTCCTCGCGGTGGAATTCAAAGACAACAGAGCCCCTCCGTGTCAAACTGCGGCGGAGATGGCAATTCCGGCAAGGAAGTGTCCACCATGGCTCCAATTTGCAGCTCCACAAGTCCCTCCAGCTCCTCAAACGCCGCCGCTACCACCACCACCAGCCCCACCCAAATGCTCAGAGACTTTCCTCTGCAGATTTACGACAAGAAAGAGCTTCAATTCATGGATTCTTCTGGGTCTCGGCTGAAAGATCACACCCAAAGCACACACCAGAACCACCACCACCAAATGGAGGACATCGCCGTCATTAGTAAAGGGTTTTAGCCTTTTTGCTTCTTTTTTTCACTTTATAATTATTATTATTTGGTCCTAATCAGCCTTTAATCCCTACTAAGATGTGTTGAGTTTTTGCTAATCATCATTCATCTAATCTATTGGGAAGTGTATTAAAAAGATTTGGATTGGGATTTGGGAATTAGCAAATGAAATTAACCCCTGCCATTCCATATCTTCTTTTCCATTTGACTTCTTACTGTTCCTAATATAGCAATTTGAAAATAAATATCTCTATTTATATATAAATAGAGATTATAAAAATATTAAATTTTAAAATAAATCATTGATGTTAAATTTTATCACAATTCAATATACTCTTTTTTAAAATTTATTATCAAACTTTAAAAATATTAACCATAAAAATTAAGACAACAAAAATGACTTATCGTTTGACCTATTTAAATCTTTTCCGTTTGTATTATTTTGTTTGACTAATTTTATTTTTAATTTAGTTTATATTATTATAAATGTAAAATTAAAAATTATATATTTAAAAATTATGTCGAAATATCTATAAAAGTAGATAAAACTAGATACAATTAATTATTTTTTTATCAAGTAAATAACAAAAATAAAAAATAAAGTATATAAGATAGCTTAAGTGAATTGGCTTTTCAAGTAAACGGATGGAGAAACAAAGTGGAAGGTGGACTTTCGTGAAATGGCTTTTCTTAGCTTGTGTCACTGTTCATTAAGGTGTGTTTGAGAATACATTAAGGTTTCCATGATATTGCCCCGCAATATCATGGGATGACTCGGAGCCACTCCGGTGTCCTGTTTTGATTCCAAAGTCAAAATCAACTTGTGGAGTGTAATTGGAGGGGGTGAGGGGGTGTGTGTTCGGGTCGGGGCTGAGTGAGGGGTTTACCGGGGGATAGGAACCGTCAATTTTACAAACAGAGCACCGGAGCAGTCCCGGGTCATCCCATGACATTGCTGGGCAACGTCATTGGAACAAGTTCAACCGGAATGAACTAGTAATTTGGCCGGTCTAGTCACCAATTTAGTTTGAAAGCTATGCTTAATAAAGAACCTGATTTGGTAAGAAAATAAATTTTTACACTTCTCTTTTTTTACAAGGAGTATATGCCTTGAGGGCCTACTCCCTCTTGTCCAAGACATCTCAATCTATTTGAATATCATCAAAAAAAAATTCAAAAAAAAATGTACCTAAAGAATCGACTTAATATTGTTCTAAATTAGACGGACGTGATATCAAATTGAAAAATACTTCCTTGGTTTCAATAAAACTGCTTCTTTCATTTTTTTTATTTCTCCAAAACACTTTCACATTCAATTAAAAAATTATTTTTCCTCCTACTTTTCCCTTTTCTACTTATGATAACATACTTTATCGCTAATAATCCAACTATCACACCTTATTTTTACACATTACATAAAGAGCAAAATTAGAAAGTCAACCACAAATATATTTTTCTTATTTTGGTTAAAAGTCAAAAGGAAAGAATTTATTGAAACGGATGGAATATATTTTTAAAGTATTCTTTTAAATTATATTTTGACCGATATCATCACATTTTCAAAATGAATGCGACATTATTGAAAATGTAGAATTCTTCAATGCCAAAATGAATTAATAGAATTTAATACTGATAGAATCTAAAATTGGCAGAGATTCTGAATTAGTTAATAAGACACTTGGAATAAACTATATTAAAAGATTAAATTCAATCAATTATTTAGTTTAGCTCAAAACCTTATGCACTAATATATTTCTCTTCAACTCCCGATGTAAGATACACTCTAACAACTATTACAAAAAATATTGAGTTAATTAATTATACATTTTTTTGTTATTTTCAAAACTGTTAATATTTTTGTGACTTCTACTTATTGAGTGACTAGCTTTTCCAAAATGCAATTTTTGAACTGAGTTTGCTACTTTGCACTTTGAAGCAATACACCATAGGGATCTATTATGAAGCTAACACAATAAACTCATGTTCTCTTTAATTTAATTTTTTACTTATTACATATTTGTATTGGAATCAGGTCAGATAAAAATTAATTTTAAAAATAATTACATTCAGATCAGATCAAAACCATTTAGATCAGTTGAAGAAAACATGGCCACAGTGCACTTGCCTGCAATGAATTTTAATTTTCTTTATAGTAT